TTGGGCCAGCGGCAGCTGCTGTGTCTGGCGCGGGCGATGGTGCGCAAGAGTCGGGTGTTGATCCTCGATGAGGCGACCAGCAGGTATGTATTCTTTTGTCCCTTGAGGTCTTTTTAATGGGTGCTGGGGCTGGGCTGAACAATGTGTAGTGTGGATCACGAGACGGAGGATATCATGCAGGAGGTCATTGAGACGGAGTTCGCGTCTCACACCGTGCTGGCGGTGATGCATCGCCTGCGGTTGATTCATCGGTATGATCGGGTTGCGGTCTTGAATGCGGGTGCGTTGGTGGAGCTGGATAGTCCTGCTGCTCTGTTGGGTCGTGATTCTTTGTTTCGACAGCTTTACCAGTCTGGACATGGTGGTGCGAGTAGATGTTGATGATGGTGATGATGAGTGGTGACGATTTTTCACTAGAGCTGAGAGATGGCATACACGAAGACACGATACTATACACAGAAGAATAATCTATACACATGCGAGCCAGACAACCTCACTCCTCGCGCCGAACACGGATCGCGTAAGAAAGCTCCTCACTCCCTCCCTGCACGGTATACACATCCAACCTCTCCGGATCGTATCGATGGTTGTAAAGCTTCATCTCCGGCGGACACGAGACCAGCTTCTCCAGGGCCCTAACCACCTCCCACGCCCAATCAATCTCCACGCCCAACTCCCTCGCCAGCATATTACAGCGCACCATAATCTGCCAGCAGCGGTGCAGATACCGCCGCAGCTGCCGGCGATTCCGCTCATGGAGCGGATCATGCGGCACGCATAGCCGCGATCGGGGCTCCTTGTTGCCCTCGCCGCTCAAGGTCGTCATCTCCGCCGCCCAGTCGTCGGGCACGCCGCGCTCGCGGAGATAGGCCTCGATGCGCGATGTATCCTGTTGACTCGGACGGAAGCCCGCTTTGTCCGACGCGAGGAACAACGGGAAGGGCAGCTCGCCGTACGTGAAGCAATCCTTCTCCTCGGGTGCGGCGAGAATGGCCAGTAACGCGTCCACGGAGACATCCTCGGGCTGCTGCCACAGCCGCTTGAGGCGGGCGCGCCGTCCCTCCTCGTCTCGTGCGCAGGACTCCTCGTACCACGGATCTCCCTGGTCCCAGATCCGCACCTGGCTCGCGAAGCCGAACTGCGGCTCCAGGCCCAGAAACTGGCGGTGCGGGTACCGCGACATCTCCGTCGCTTGCCAGAGGCACGTCCACTCGTCGACCGGGCGCTGGTACATTTTTGTGGTGCGGTAGTCGTGCGCATAGGCCCTGCTCCCGGCTGCATGTTCCGAGGCCGAAGAAGAAGAAGAAGAGTGTAACTCCGGGAAGCAGTAGAGAGTATTTAACGTCAGGTACATCTCCAGCGCGGCGTCGAAGACCGGGCCCCACCCGTGGTCCATCTCACACTGCCTCAGTTAGTTCTGGTGAATGATGATAATCAACTCGAGTCGTACAACACACGATTCATATTGGAAAACACCAGTGCAGTTACAACAAGGGAAATGAAAATGGGAGGGAAGCGGAGGTACTCACTAGTTCAATACAGGAACAATCCTGCACGCGCATCCACTCCTTCAGCCCGATGTCGGGATGCGCGCACAGCCGGAAAATGATCTCCATCTCCCCGAGCACGAGCAGGGTGCTGACGACCTGCAGGTTGAAGAACCCGTCGCCGTTGACCTCTTCGAACCGGGAACAGTCGTTCCATTGGTAGGGCCGGAGGAAGGCAGCGGCCCGGCGCTCGGTGTAGGGGAGCGGACAGCCGCAGGCAAAGTCGGTGGTGCTGTCGATGTGCTGGCAGAGCTGCTGCGTCTTTTGGATGTTTTTTTTGGGGTGGTGCCAGCGAAAGGTGAGGGGGTGGATGCGCGCGGCTAGGCGGTCGTCTAGGAGGAGTTCGTCGCGCGCCGGCGGGAGGTATTTCGGGGCGTACTGTTGCCGCGCGGCGGTTGTGTCCTCGTCGAGGACGCGGGCGAAGGAGGTGGCGAAGTGGCCTAGATCCTTGGCTTGGGTGGGGAGGAAGCGGAAGTAGAGGTTGGCGATGGTGGTGTCCGGGCTGGTATGGGTTGGGGTGCGGTGGATGAGGTGCGAGGTTAGGCTGCGCCAGGGGATACGGTGGGCGCGGTGGGCCATTGGGGATGAGAGGATTGAAGATTGGAAGACTTGATCGATAAAGCTAGCCGTGTGAGCTTACCTTATAGTTCAAGGGGAAGACCCTGATCAGGGGCCACAAACTACGGGGTCATAGTAAGACCTAATTGACTAGCAAACTCATTCCTGTGCTAGGAGGTAGTGAAATCGCCTTCCTTGTTTAGGACTTTTGGCTTGAGTTAGTACTGTGACTTTCCCTGATCAGCCTAGAGTAGTTCAAGGTCCAATATAAAAGAAGGGTAGCTGGCCGTCGGACTCCGGGTGGGCCCAGGGTCCCTCGGAGCTTATCGGGGCACTGTCCTCCCCGAGTCAGCGCGAGTCCCTGTTCTTGTCCTAGAGCTTATTAGGGCTGCAAGGACTATATTAAAAGGACCCATAATGGCATGTATCCAGATGAGATGTCCTGGGTCGGTAAGAGATCTGATCTACCTACTAAGATTAGGGACTAGTTTGCATGATTCTGGCTAATGAGAATGATTTATACAAATGATCAGACTGGAAAACTCCTAGGTGCTCTCTACTCCGTAACCTATGGGAGTTGCCTCCATCTGCCATATCCTAAGTCAGGTGTACTGCCCTCGTGCTATAAAATAATCCCTTGCCACCTGCTAAGCAGCCCTGCCCGGGGAGAATCCGTGCGGCTATTGCGGAACCGCCGTGCTGTACCTATGGAGTACGGAGGGATCTTTGGAAACCATATACAAATAGAAGTAGCGCTCCAATCCTTTTCTTCCAGTTCCAGTTGACTTCACCCGCATACATCATAAGTCCTCTGAAGACAAACACTCCCACCTCATAAATATAGATAAAATGTATATAATATAAATAATTTACATCATTCTTATCATGATTTTTAATGTATATATTTTATCTAACTTGTTATGATTATCCTGCTGTTTTGATTATATATCAATTTCTTTATTTCAATAGATATAAAATTATAATTTAATCCTTAAATTTACAAATTTTTATTAGATATTTATCAGGTTTCTGAGCTCTCAGGGCTGACGCCACGAAGACCTCATTGTTCGCTGGCTGCCATTAGTAGACGGTACACAATGGCCCGGTGTAGCACCACAGACCGAGATCTTCGTCGGAAAACAAGACTGCGTTTACAATAACCAAAGGTTTGCGAACGACGTACAATCCAGAGGACTGGCGAGGTCCCGGGTGGATGTTTTGGTCATTAGGTGTGAACAATGATTGTAGAATGTTGAAGCTTCCCTACCGCTTACCACTGGGGCTTGAAAGTGAGTTTCACAAAGCGCGGTTAGCAAGAATCGCCTTGAGACCTTGAGCTTCGACAAGATATGGTGGAAGTTGCTAGTCAATAGCATTGATTGAGTTGGAGACATCTTAAGATCCCCTCTTAAGCCACTAACCCAAACCTGCATAGTGCAGAACGCAATCCCGATAGATTTCGGAGCTGAACAATAGTATCGGACATAGACAGACAGTGTATCAACATCAAAGAGTATATAAGGAAAGACAATGCCAACCCAAAACCGAGACGATCAGCTCACCATAGTCCTACCACAATACACCCCGCCCCAAAATGCCCCCCAACCCCATCCCGACAACCTTCCTCTCACGCAACAATCTCCACCTAGCCGCCCATCTGTACCCGCCGTGCCGCAATGCCCCCTCCCGCGCCGGCGCCGCTATCATAATCGCCCACCCGTGGACTTCCATCAAAGAACAATCCCCGGCCAACTACGCCCGCTACCTCTCCGCCGCCGGGTTCACCTGCCTAACCTACGACGCCGCCCACCACGGCGAATCCCCAGGCCAGCCCCGCCGCCTGGAAGACCCCTTCCAGCGCGTCGAGGAGATCAAGAACGCAGCCACCCACCTAGCCACCAACCTTTCTGACTCTGTGGATCCCCACCGCATCGGGGTCCTAGGCATCTGCGCCGCAGGCGGGTACGCCGCCTTCGCCGCGCAGACGGACCTGCGACTGCGGGCCGTGGCGACCGTCTCCGCGGCGTGCGTGGGCGAGTTAGTCCGGCGCGGGGGTCCTTTGTCTCAAGACACCGTTGACCCGGAAATCCTGCAGACGCAACTTGCGCTAGCAGCAAAGGACCGCACTGCCATGGACCTCCCCACCCGAAGAGAAGGAGATGAAGATGTAGGGCTGGTGCGAATGCTCCCGCAGCGCTACGAAGACCTACCCGCCGATGCACCCCCGGCCATGCGGGATTTCGCGGCGTACTACTGCACTCCCCGGGGCTACCATCCCCGGGCGGATGGGGTGGCGCGCGCGCAGAGCTGGGATCTGATGGCGAATTTCGAGGCGTTTCGGTTCATGGATAGGGTCAGTCCAAGGCCGGTGTTGATGGTTGTTGGGGAGAGGGCGGAGAGTCGGTGGGTGAGTGAGGCTGCTGTTGAGCGGGCGAGGGAGCCGAAGGAGGTGTTTGTGGTGGAGGGGAGGTCGCATGCTGATTCGTATGACCGGGTCGAGGAGGATGGGGTCGGGGAGAAGTTGGTGCAGTTTTTTATGGGGGGGTTGGTGGGGGTTTAGGGTTGGATTGGGTGTCGGTATGAGTGCTTTCAGGACTGGAGTAGGGCTTCGGACTCTAGCACTCAGTGGTGAGCTTCTATGGTCGGGAAGTTGAAGAAGGACTTTGTACATGAGTATAGGTGGTTCTTTGGCCTTCCAGGAGAGCCTCAACAAGGCATAGAAGATTGGGGAGAGCCACTATAGATGTGGGGATATGAAAGAATAATGGTTAGAAGCAAAAGTGCGGATACCCATCCTGAACAACGCCGGCTGCCTTAGGGCTAGTACCATCTAAGTGCCTTTATTGCAATTCGGGATACATGTTGCTGTCAAGGTGCAGATATGGTTCCATCAAAATAAAGTCATCATCATCATTATCCGCAAATTATACTGTACATAAAAACGCTGTTTATCGTCATTCTAAATCACCGCGCTCATCACCCAATCAAATGCTCTATTGCGCAACAAGAACACCCCTGTATCTCATCTTGCCGTCTTTGAGCGTTTTCAATGCCTCCTGCACACCCTCCTGCGTCAACGGGAAGGTCATCTTAATAGGCTTGATGCCGTGCAAGGCAGCGAAGGCCAGCATGTCGCGGTGGACCTGTCTCGCGGAGACGATGCCGCCCTGAACGCGCAGGCCACTGGTGAGAAGGGTCATGTAGGGGAACTTGAACTCGGAGCTGTCGACGGAGAGCGGCGAGATGACGGCGCCGGGGGCCAGGACGGAGGTGTAGAGGTTCCAGTCGGGCTGGCTGCTGGTGGAGACGATCAGATGATTAAGAGGCTTGCCGATCTTGAGCTCCTTGGCGCCCTTGGTCGCGTGGAACTCCTTCGCGCCCAGCTTGAGCGCCTCCTCCTTCTTGCTGTCACTGCCGGAGAACACGACGACGTCGCAGCCCATCTTGGCGGCGAACTGGATGGCCAGGTGGCCGAGCCCGCCGATGCCGACAATGCCCACGCGGGAGGTCGACTTCACGCCCGCGACGACCAGGGCGTTGAAAACGGTCGACCCGCCGCACATGAGCGGGGCCGAGTCCTCGTTGCTGAGCCCGTCGGGGATCTTAAACAGGAAGGCCTCGCGCCAGACGGCGTGGGTGGCGAACGAGCCCTGGTCCAGATCCGCCCCCGCATACATCGCCCGCTCCGGGCACATCGTCTCCCACCCCGTCAGGCAGTTGGAGCACCGCCCGCAGCAGTCGTGCTCGTACCCCCAGCCCACCCGGTCGCCCTTCTTCAGGTCCTGCACCTCGGGGCCCACCTCCTCGACCACGCCGGCGCCCTCGTGGCCCAGCGCCATGTCGGTTGTCTGGTAGTGCAGATCCGTCCCGCACACCCCGGAGTGGGTGACCCGCACCAGCACTTGGTCTTTCTTCAGATCATCGCGGTGGGTGGTGGCTTGCTTGATGGATCCGTCCTTGGATCCTTTGTAAACGGTGAAATCGTATCCCATGGTTGCGATTGGTGTATAGGTTGGTAATGAGGAGAGTTTCGAGAGATAGTGTAAGGACCTTGCAAGAATCCCGAAAAAATGGCTTGTCTTTCGTCCGGGCTATATAAAAAGTCGGGGATAAACATGATGTCACCGGGATCCACCGAAAATTGCCGCATGCGGTAATTTCGGCAGGCGACGGAGCCAGCGATGATATCAGGTCAGGATGAGGTCAGTCCAGTCTATTGTTAATTCTGCGCACCGTGCGCCTGGTGAATGATTCAGTAGTGACGCTATGGAATAATAAAGTTCTGATATTGTTTATCTCTGGCTAGCCGTGGGTGTGGTAATGGCTACACAGCTATCTCTCATGGAAGAACATCGAAGCATTACCAATCCTTATCTTGGGTTTGTCATGATTGAGTGTTTGCATTAGTCCCAGGGCATGGTTAGGAGAATAGTATTGCAGCCTGGCACAAGTAGTTTAATCGCATGTGGGATTGGAATGTGTCAAGGTGGGCTGCATGGAGCGTTGCCAAGCTCATAATGCATGGCTGGATACTCGCCGATCACTTGGTGCCTTAGGCATAAAGACGTATTCCTCCTGCTTTTACCAGCGCCGTATCCACACACAGCCATGCTGAACGGAAGTTGGAATGGTACGAAGTCTGATGCTGAAGTTTTCTACCAAATCAATATGCTAAGCTAAAGCAATCGTATCGATTTCCTGTGGTAGCTATCTCCCGGCTAGTTTGATCCCCCAGCAACAAAACAAAGATAGGTCCAAGAAACGCCGGTGCCGTCCCCAGTCTCATATCACTAACCACACCTCCATCCTATTGATAGAATTCTCGCAGAGCAAAAAGAAAAACACATTAAAGAGTAAGAAAAAGTAGGGTGCAGTCTCTTGCTTGGAAGATTCCAACAGAGAAGCCGAGTCGCTTATCTCCTGACAGCACGGACAGCGTCGATTGTGATGGTCCTGGGATACCAAGACTTTGCAACAACCCGGGACAGATGAGGGTACGTAAGAATCACAAGCGTATGGAGAGCCGCACTAACAATGCCATTGGGGTTCCATACCAGAGTTTCACCCTGCCCGGCCTCCCATTTCAGGATCGTCTCTCGCGGACCGTCGATCTCCCACCGTTCTACCATTCTCTCTTTCTTCGGCAGATCGCTGCTGTACGGGGCAGGGCCGTTGCCGACGACAATGGAAAACGACCGGCACCCACCGAAACAATGAACAAGATAACACAACTCACTGGGGTCAGCCAGAAAGAACTCTTCGGACACGGCAAGTCGTTTGAATTCTGGACTGGAACGAAGATTGTCTTTGTAGTCCGGCGCGGCAGGATCAAGGCCAAGATAGAGTGTATTATTTTCCGCAACAAATGGGCGAGTCAAGAGGAAAGTCCCCTTGTGGTTAAAGCGCTTGCGCAGAGGACGATGCTTCTTAAGCCAGTCGAGAGCGACCGAATGGGACTCGTGGTTGACGTAAAGCAGGGGCATCGCTATCTGGTGAGTTCCGGGAGCAACGGGATAGTAAAGGGTCGGCTGGATCCGACGATGCCGGCCATTCCTTCCCCGTTTCCATTCAGTCTTCTCGACCCATGGATAGAGTGTAGCCCCGTCTGTCAGGATCGGCAGCGCATGCTTCCAAATCTCAAGGCGTAGCTCAGTAGGGAGCCAGGGAAATCGTCTGAAGGTCGGGTGCTTGTTTTTGGGAGCTGGCATGACTGTGTGAGTTTTTGAAGGCTGAAGCCAAAGGGCCTAGCCCAGTAGAATGGCTGGAGGAAGTAGTTTATATGAAGGGACACGAGGGTCGAAGGTGAAAAGGCTAGAAAGTGAAAGAGTAACCCGAGAAGACGTGTGGCTCAGTCCTCCTCTAATGGACAAACTAGGTGAGTGAGGCAAGAATAGAGGCCACTTAGGTCTTTGTTGACTGTTGGTGTTCGGCCTTCGCCAAATGAGTTGTAGAAGGAGTATCTCAAATACGAGGTGGGAAGTCAAGGCAGTGTGAATTGTATGTAAAGTATGCGGCCGGTAGATCGACAACTTTACCTTGATATTCAGCCCTCAAGCATAAGCCAGGTTTGACTTCCAGCTCAATTCCGTCTGATAGGTAAAAGATTGGGACTCTGTCACCCGGTGACAGCAAATAGATCAAAGGTGTGTGATGACGGGTGCGCTTCGTGAATGACGTTAAAGCTAGTGATACTAAGATGAGGTATCATATCCTTCTGTCTGTGCAAGCAGACAAGACAGCAACTGGCCTGTGATACGCTACAGTTCCTCAGCAGTCCCACATCTCTGTAGAGGAAGTTTTCACAACAAGGCATCCAAATACTTAATCTGCAGCCCTGCTTGACATTGCATTCATCTTAAGCATTTGCGTCTGGATCTGATGTAGAAATTGTTGCTCCTGCATTGTAAACGGTAATAAACAAATCATTTCCTGTATTTAACCAACTTCTATTCCCCCTTCCGCGACTGCTTCAATATCTCCACCTCACTCCCACCTCGAATGACCCCGACGCGCATCATCGACAGAAGATTATGCGCCGCATTCGAATGATAATACACACCCCCATTAAACATAGCAGTCGCATCCTTTCCAATGCCAGCATTGATCATCGCCCGTCCCCCGGGATGCTCCTCCACAAACTGGCTCACATCATGCACGACCCCGGCCACCGCCACAAGAGCCCGACTCTTCGCCAACTCCACATACTCCTCCCACTCCAACACAGGCAAGTCCTTGATAGGCGTGCCCCAATCCAACCTCGCGCGCCGCTGATCGACCTTCTTCTGCATCTGCTGCACCCTCCCCTTTTCAATCTCATTCGCGCGGAACACCTTTAAATCATACGCGAGCCCCATCTGCTTCCACAGCCAGATCATCCACTTGGTGGGGTCATACTGATACCACTGGATCGCATTCCGGTAATCGGAGGGAAACTCATGATGGAAGTTGTGGTAGCCCTCACCCAGCGTGGCCAGGGCGGTGATGGCGTGGTCGCGCGGGGAGTTGCGGTCGTCGAAGGGCTGCTCGCCCAGCCAGTGGGCCAGCGAGTTGATGCAGAAGGTGGCCTGCTGCACGAAGAAGATGCGCAGGATGCCCGCGTAGACGAAGCCGCCCCACCAGTCGCCCCAAAGCCCGGCGCCCAGCATCGGCACCCCCATGCCCATCACCGCCACCACGAGGAGGTAGTGCCGGTGCTGCCACACCACCACGGGGTCCTCGTTCAGATCCGAAATGTCCGTCCGTCCGATCCGCTTCGGGTTCTGCTTGAAGATCATCCACCCGAAGTGCGAGTAGAAGAGGCCCTTGTTCACCGAGTACGGGTCTTGGTCGGTGTCGGTGTACCGGTGGTGCGCCCGGTGCAGTCGGGACCACCACCGCGCCGAGCCCTCGACGGCTCCGCCTCCGGCGGCGGCGAGCCAGATGCGGAGCGGGAGCGTCGCGGAGTAGGAGCTGTGGGACCAGAGACGGTGGTATCCTGCGCCGTTTCGGGTGAGGTTAGGATTGGGTTCTGTGGTTGGGTGGTTGGGGGGAGTTGTGGGCTGCGGGCTGAGGCCACGTACCAGCTGTGATGCCTAGACCGGTGAAGAAATAGTAGGCGATGGCCCAGATGGCGGTTTTGAACTGCAGGGGAACCCAAAATGCTTGGATGCAGCCGTAGAGGGGAATTCCGATGATCATGATGACATTGAGCCAGTCGATGTGTTGGTGCCAGTTGCGCAGGGTGACGGGGGTGTCGGCGATGTGCACTTTCTTCGGCCCATCCCCTGTTCGTCCAGAGGACGTGTTTGCGGTTTTGGGAGGCATGGTGGCCTGATTCTGGTGTGTGTGTGCACTACCGAATCAGGAGGGATGCCAGGTTGATTGATTGCGATGTGGGTAAAAGATAGAAATTGATATTGTTCAAGTATGAATGGAGTTCTGATGTAGTCTGTTCTCACCCAGAAGCATCAGAGCAATTAATGGTTTTATCTCTACTACAATGGACAATACTGACACAAGGGCGACCGACTCGCCCCCGGACTGTTGGGCCAGTGACATGATGCGGATGTGGTTCGATGTCGGATCAGACGAAAAGGTACGATCTCATTCGCTGCAGCATTCCCAACAGCTCGAGTCAGCCATGTTCCCGACTCGGTCTCAAGGCAAAGGATTCATGCATCAAGATCGATAGAGCTCAAACATGGTTGACGACGCATACTTGGATCGATGTTGTGCTCTTATGTTGACATGGAGGGATCTGTTGGGGCCAGGGCTGCTTAGTCACCTGGGCTGCTGGCCTCCCAAAAAAATGTTCACTAATCATTTAATCAAAATGCTGGACCCGCAGGGCCTCGGCCATCGGAGGGTGCGGAGAACTCAACATCTTATTTCTGTGTTCAACGTTTCAATTCTTTTCTCATTGCATGTCATTGGTTCTCACTCCCCAAGTCACGTGTCATCCGTCTCGCTTCTCACTACACTGTCATTCTCACTCGCCCTCATTTCGATTTTGTCAACCCAAGCTTAGCCGCAATGCGAGGGAAGATGGCCAACGCATTCTGATGATTGATCTGCGCCATTTCCGCCTCGGTAAAATTGCCATTCGCCTGGATCGCCGCCAGCCCCGGTTTCGCCTGACTGACCGGCACATACGGAACTAACACCACCATCAGCAATCAGCACCCCGTTCACCACCTCCCAATGCATCTCCATAAACACAAAAGTGAAAAAGGGAACAAGACGAAGAATCTCGATCAGGTGAATGACTTACAATCCGTCCCCGTCACAATCTGGCCCACTCCGATAAACGCCTTCAGCGCCTGCAGCTGGATCGCCGAATACGCCGACGCCGTGTCGAAGTGATACCCCTTCAGCTGGGCGACCACGGTCGCCGGGTTCAGCGCCCCCAGCGCCGGCAGACTGGCCACCCCCGCGATGCGACCGGCCAGGTAGGGCATGGCGCCGCCGCCGTGCGGGTAGATCATCGTGACGTTGGGGTAGCGCGCGCGCTGGCCGGTCAGCAGCATGTTCTCCATCGCGCGCACGCTGTCGAACGGGTACTCCGTCAGAGGGCCGCCGTAGCCGAGGGTGGCGTCGGCGCAACCGGGCGTCGCGGGGTGGACGAAGACGGTGGCGCGGCGCTGGTTCAGGGCCGCAAACACCGGGTCGAGGCTCGCGTCGCCCAGGTACAGGCCGTTGTAGTTGGTGTAGAGGCCGATGCCGTCGAAGTGGAGGGTGTCGAGGCAGTACTATCCTCTGGTCGGTGGCTGGTTCTCACGTAGACATTGGATTGGTAGGGGGAGGGGTGGTACCTTGATCTCCTCCAACGCGTCCGCGACATTGGGCAGAGGCAGGAGGCATAGCGCGCCCAGGCGCGTCGGATAGGTCTGGGTGTAGTTGTGCAGTAGGTTGTTGAGCTCACGGGCCAGTCCTTTGGCCTTCTGGGGCTTCGACGCCAGGAAGTACACGCCGGGGGTTGTCACGCTCAGCGTCGAGTAGTTGACCCCGTAGCTGTCCATGTTCTGGAGGTGGCCCGCCAGCGTCCAGTCTGGCACCGGGAAGCCCTCCACGATCAAGCTGCCATTCACGGTGGGGTAGCCTTCTTCGATCAGCGCATCCAGCCAGATTTGCGGGACCGGGTGGGAGTGCACGTCGATCCGGTATTGGGAGTCGAGGCTAGTGTGCGCGTGTACGATCTGCGCCGCCGCGGCTACGAAGACGGCGAGATGGTATATGAATTTGGCCATGGTCGACAGCGCAACGCGATTGCTATTGTGACGCAGTTGGGCGTTTCGCCTGGAGTTCTTCCCGCTGGAGAGAAATGCAGGTGCAAATTTCACCCAGAGGCCTTATATACACGCATGGTTGTGCTTGGCGGAGGAGCTCGGGCAAACAATCAAATGTAAGCGACCGAGATATACGAAGCAGTTAATATTGAAGAAGATGGCGATTCGACGGGGAGATTCAGCCGAATAGTTACAGCATTCTATTCCGCACCGTGGGCTTAGAGATTGCCCTATGATTGGTGCAGTTTGGTCTCGAAGAGCTTAGGGCTCTCTATTCAGTGGGCGCTAAATGCCGCCTTGTTCGGGATGATTAGAATTGTTCTCGATGAAGCTCCATACTTCGCCAGGATTGAAAAGTGATGGAACAGCGGACTCCTCGATGGATTATATTATGCGCCCAGAGCAACATCACCAGCCCTAGCTTTCTTCCATTCAAGCCTTAATTCATTTCAACCGATATAATGATGATTACGCGACGTGACGAGGATCTTAATGCGCGGGTAAGCTATCACATTTGGAGCGGGGTAAGGCGCACTCGGCAACCGACCTCGGACTGAGGACTGAGGACTGGCACCAGGACCAATTCTTTTTCCAATTTTCGCAGGTGCGGACTAACCCGCAGCTTATGCCCATCAGGTCCACATGGTCTAGGAGGCTCGGTTGTGAACCGCATCTATGACGAGAAACTATGAGTATGTTCCCTCAATGGAAACCTACTTGTGGCTAGTGCGGCTATTGCGGAACCTCGGAAACCACTGTCCCTGCGGAGATTCCGTTAACCTACAAAGAGTGTGCCTAGTACGGCAGTCGCTGTTTTGTGAATGTGATGATGCATCAACAGTCGTTGAATCCACGAGGCTCGATGACTGCGAAATTCCCTTCTGGGTGTTTTTGCTGTTTAGATTGTGATGTCTGTCAAGACACTGCCTAGCCCATCCGCTGTGTACCCTCGAAACATGAGTCAGGGCGAAGCGCGTGGCGGCGGCCCGCAATACCCGACAGTATGCACTTCACCCATACAGAAATGGTCGATAAATCGTCATTTCAGGTTGAGAATTTCATCTCAATTGTCATGAACACCTTCGAAACCTTTGACTTGAAACAACTCCCTGCACAGCAAAGACGCCATGAGCAACGCGGACCTCGAAGCAGGCGAACTACACAAAAGCAGGAGCGATGGCCTGCAGTACGACCTGACCGTGGGCAGTGACAATGATGAAACCCTCGAGAAGGACAAGGCTCTAGGTTATTCTATGGGAGCCGGGAAACATTTCCCACCGCCGCTTCCTGATCCAGCTGAGTACGTTGTTGAGTTCGACGGACCTGACGACGCCACGCATCCATTCAACTGGAGCTTTGCCGTGAAGTAAGACCATTCGAGAACAGGGAGAAACTTAGAATCAAAATCTAACACTCCAGGCTAGGCTCTACATCTCCGTCATAGCCTGTGCCGGCACCTTCGTCGCATCCTTCGCCAGCGGGCTGTTCGCCCCAGGAACCGAGCAAGTAGGCAAAGCCTTCGGCGTCAGCACCGAGGTAGCCACCTTGGGAACCACCCTCTACGTCCTGGGCTTCGCAACGGGCCCTCTGATCTGGGGACCTGCTTCGGAATTGATCGGCCGACGGTGGCCCCTGATCCTAGGCCTCGTCGGCGGGGCCATCTTCGACATCGGCTCGGCAGTGGGCAAGGACCTGCAGACGGTCATCATCTGCCGCTTCTTCGCGGGGGTGTTCGGAGCCTGCCCGTTGTCCGTCGTCCCCGGCGTGCTGACGGATATCTACAGCAATGCCCATCGGGGATTCGCCATGACCATCTACGCGCTCACCGTGTTCGTCGGGCCCTTCTGCGCCCCGTTCATCGGCGGGTTCATCACCTCCAGCTCGCTCGGCTGGCGCTGGACACTCTACCTCCCCGCCTTGATGGGCTTTGCATTGGGCATCATCTCCTTTGCCTTCCTGAAAGAAACATACGCCCCGATCCTCCTCGTCGAAAAGGCAGCCGCCATCCGCCGGGCGACCCGCAACTGGGGCATCCACGCCAAACAGGACGAGGTCGAGATCGACCTGACCGCGCTGCTGCAGAAGAATTTCACCCGCCCGCTGCGGATGCTCCTCACCGAGCCTATCATCCTGCTGATCTCGATGTACATGTCGTTCATCTACGGGCTGGTCTACGCCCTGCTTGAGGCCTACCCCTACGTGTTCCAGACGGTCTACCACATGAGTCTCGGCGCCAGCGGCCTGCCCTTCATCGGCCTGATCATCGGCCAGGTCCTCGCCTGCGCCTTTATCCTCTCCCAGCACTCGGGGTATGTCAAGAAACTCATCGCGAACGAGAATCGCCCCGTCCCGGAATGGCGGCTGGGACCCGCGATGATCGGTGCTCCGATCTTCACGGTCGGGATCTTCTGGTACGTATACTCTGTATCGGCCTCACGACTCGCACGAGCACCATACTGATGTGAGGGGGAGAAGGTTCGGCTGGACGGGATTCACACCACGCATCCACTGGATGGCACCCACTGCGGCCGGTGTCTTTGTGGGGTTCGGCGTACTGTGCATCTTCCTCCCGTGCTTCAACTACTTGGTTGATTCGTATCTCCCGTTGTGAGTTAGCTGGAACATTCTTGTTGCTTCTCGGGCAGTGAGCTGACGTGACTAAGGGCGGCATCGACCGTGGCGGCCAACATCATCCTCCGCTCCAGCGTTGCGGCTGGATTTCCGCTGTTCACGAAGCAGATGTTCGAAAATCTGGGGATCCAGTGGGCGGCGACGTTGCTGGGGTGTCTGGCGGCCGTGATGATTCCTATCCCCTTTGCGTTTCGGAGGTGGGGCCCGCGGTTGAGGGGGAAGAGTTCGCTTGCTCCATAGTTTGAATATGCGTTGATAGTATTTGATCTTATAGATATAGGGCTAAAGCCGACCGGGGCTTCGCTCCACATCATGGCTCCAGTCTTCTTCGACTGTCCTAAGCTGCCCTACTTGAATCCTCACACAGAGCTGTACAATACAAGCCAAACAATACATGCACATACCTTGCACAGTACATCCCAATCACCTAAACAAATCCTCAGTATACACACAAAACACCCAGCACGACCTACACCTCCCCTGGCCCTCGAGCCGTCAAAAACCGAAAATCCGCTCCCTCATGCGCCTGGTTGACTTCCCGCTCATACAATCCGCGATACCCGCGCCTGGCCCGCCGCGCATTCCACGTCTCCTCCACCCCTTGTTCCACCACGGCCACGCGCCGCTCCTCCACCCTCCTCTGCAACTCCTCCTCACTCACCTCCAACCGCAGCAGCCTCCTCTCCACATCCAGCGTAATCATATCCCCGGTGCGCACGGCCCCGAACGGCGAATCCGGCACCGCCGCCTCCGGCGCCACATGCAGGACGATGGTGCCCCCGGCGGTGCCGGACATGCGGCCATCCGAGAGGCGCAGCATATCGGTGACGCCGCGGGCGGCCAGCTTGCGCGGGATGGGGATCATGCCGGCCTCGGGCATGCCGGGGTTCCCGATGGGGCCGATGCCCTTGAGCACGAGGACGGAGTCCGGGGTCACGTCGAGGTCCGGGGCGTCGAGGCGGGCGGCGAGGTCGCGCGGGTTCTCGAAGACGACGGCGGGGCCCGTGTGGTGCAGGAGGCGCCGGTCCTTGGAGGCCGAGGCCTTGCACACGGCCCCGTCCGGGGCGATGTTGCCGTGCAGCACCACGAGGGAGGCGTTGGGGTGCAGCGGGTCCGCCAGGGTGCGGATGATGCTGCGGGAGAAGTCGTGGTCGCGGAAGGGGGTGCTGTCGAGGATCTCGCCTAGGGTGGCGCCGGTGATGGTGCGCGCCGAGGTCTTGAGGAGCGGGCGCAGTCGGTGCAGCAGGCAGAGCATGCCCCCTGCGTTGTGGAAGTCGGTCATGTAGTTGTCGCCGCTGGGTTTGAGGTCCACCAGCAGTGGGGTCGTGCGGCCGATGGCGTCCAATGTGTCCAGGGTCAGGGTCCCGCTGATGTCCGGGTGCCGATTGATGATGGCCATCAGGTGCACCATTGCGTTCGTCGAGCCGCCGATCGCCTGGAGGACCACGGCTGCGTTGTGGAAGGATTCTGCGGTGAGCAGGGCTTGCGGGGTGCGCTGGTCGCGGTGCTGCGCGGCGGCGACTGCGTTGGCGCCCGTCTGCTCGGCGATGCGCAGGCGGGCGGCGGAGACGGCGGGCGCCGAGGCCCCCTGGAGTGGGATGAGGCCGAGGGCGGCGGTGATGCAGGCCATCGTGCTGGCGGTGCCCATTACTCCGCAGGTGCCGACCTGTACGGGGGAAGTTAGGGTTGTGCAGTGGGGAAGGAATGGGGATTACGCACTGTTGGCGCCAGTTCCTCGTTGATCGCTCCGATCTCCTCCATGTCGATCGTGCCCGCCCGGTACGAGGCCCAGTTGTTTCGGCAGTCGGTGCAGGCGCCGATTCGCTTGCCCCGGTGACTGCCAGGCATCATGGGGCCGGTGAGAAGGGGTAGGATGGGCTTGTTGGCGGAGATGCCGCCCATGATCTGAGCGGGGACCGTCTTGTCGCAGCCTGGGGGTAGGATGTCAGCATGATCGCACAGGTTCACGGCGGTAAGTGGGAAGGTTCTCTGGCCTGTACAGACCTCCGATCATAATGCAAGCATCCACAGGCTGAGCTCGAATCATCTCCTCGGTGTCCATGCTCATGAGATTCCGCAGGAACATGCTGGTCGGATGGGAGAAACTCTCGTGCAGGCTGATGGTGGGGAAATCGATGGCAATGCCTCCCGCAAGGTGGATGCCTCGCTTGGTCGCCTCCATTAGCTGCGGTACGTTCCCATGGCAGGGGTTGAAGCCCGAGCCGGTGTTGATGATGCCGATGATGGGACGGGAGAGCGCATCCTCCGAGTAACCTAGGGCTTTGATGAAGACTTTGCGCAGGAACAGGGAGAAGTGGGCGTCTCCGTACGAGGTGAGCCCTTGGCGCAGCCCGGTGGTGGAGGCGATGGGTTGCTGGAGCTCATAGTCCTGGTTTGGTGGTTCCGTTGGCTCCATTCTCGCATTTAGTGGGTAATGGGTAAACGAAGCTGATAGTTTGATTCCTGGATGTTGCCAAACGTGCAGCTTTATGAGACAATGCGGGGTCGGCTGGGGATAAACCGAGGCGGAAACTTCTCCGAGCAGCAAAGCGGGAGAGATCCGAGCTCCCCGCTTCGACGCTTCGACGCTTCGACGCTTTTCATTTCCGTCGGCATGGCGCAATGTCATTTACGCCTATCTGGATTGGCTGGAGTTGGAATCGTCCAATGCAGTCTAGAATGCCAGCCTTAGTCATTCTATGGCTACAGTGAGCACAATCATTTGGTCGCACAAAGACGTACAGACAAAGGAGCATGGGAACCCTAACAATGGAAACATACTGTAGCGAATTGGGGCTCAAAGAAACGGGTAAACATCCCGACCCTCTCATATATCACCACGATCCATCTCAGAACGTGGGCCTTTGTATATAAGATGAAGCTCATTGGCGAATTGAAGGACAACAAAGTGAGCAATATGACAAGGCATGCAACAAACTTTCACACCACTACAAACACCAAATTCGCAGGATATACATACAGTATATAAGCCCCCCTCCCAGATCAGTCGTAGTGTCGCTCCTTCCACATAGTCACAATATCTTTTATTTCCGTACGAATCTCACAGCTAGGTCAAAATGGCCACCCTACAGACAGAGTCTGCACAGAAAGAATTTGCCTCCCAATGCCGGGCCACGAATCTGGACTACGGGCTCCCCGACTGGGACTCGGATACCTCGTCTGACTCCGATAATGAAACCGTCTCGAGCGTCAACATAGTGGGACCCGACGAGGTGTCGCTGGCCAAGATTCCCTACTGGTTGGACCAGACCCCGGGTCTCAAGGCGAAAGACAGGAAGCCCGTGCCTCCGCCGCGGGTGTATTTCCCCGTGGATGCGCCGGACAGTCCCGAGCTGCACCGCCGGATGTCCTATCTGCTTGGCACGAACCGCATCAAGGCCACCGTGGCCGGCGAGATGGCCGCCTCCTACGCGGGCGTGCCAATCAACGTCCAGAATTCCGAATGGGCGATCCCCGAGCCGCTCCTCGACCAGGCGGCGGAGATCCTGCGGGCGGACGGCTTCCCGGCCTGCCCGGCCTGCCCGCGCACGGCGGCGTGGAGCGAGATGCTGGGGCAGAGCGACAGCGAGGAGGAGGGGGAGGAGAGCGACAAGGCCTCTTCGGAGGGGAAGCGGCGGTCCCTCCGCCAGAAGAATGTCCGGTGCGCCGTCCTGCGGCGCGACAAGCCAGCGCACCGCGCCTACCCGCGGCCGGCGTTTCACTTCCACACCGATCACCGCTACCCCAAGTCGGCCTGGGATCTGGAGCAGTCGCGCGGGGTCTTTCTGTATCCCATGAAGGCTGTGATCCACCCGGCCCTCCCAGACCCGCCCTGCGGCCCGGCAGCGCACGGGGACGAACCGGCCTTCCTGTGGCCGCTGTCGCAGCGCAGCCCGCGGAGCGCCCCGGGGACCTCGAGCTACCGAACCACCTCGTCCAGCCATCTGCCCGCCGCGGGCGCCGGGCTGCTCGACTTCCGGGGCCGGCAGAACCCCAAGCATTACCCGGTCAACATGCTGACCCCGGCCAAAGCCGTGGAGAACCTCGTGCGGCTCATCATGCGGCACAGGGGCCAGTGGGTGAACCATTATTGGATCCGGCTCTTCACCGCGTACATGCTCTTTGCCTTCGACGTGAACCACCTCGACGAGGACCAGAGTCTCTCGGAGCACGTCAAGTTGGAGATGGAAGGCGTCGGCGATTGGCTGGAGCTGCAGCTCGACGACAACCCGAACATCGACCGGGCATTCCACGCCGTCTGGCGAGCCATCAAGAATGCCCGCGAACCCCCCCTGTTCTATCGATATGGGACTTGCAACCAGCACGCCCACTATCAGATCTGGCATCGGCAGCAGTGCAGAAGGCCATGGTAGTAGAGACGTGTAGGAATGAAGTTCTGTCTTTGTTTCAAAGTTGCTTATAGATTCATGTTGGTGCCAAGTCAATCAGGGAAACCGGTAGAGGGGTTTGCAGAATGCACGAGGTTCCCATGGGGTCGTCTCGGTGGAGGACAGCAGTCTCCGAGGCTGTCCGATGGTTGAGAACAACACCGTCATAATACAGAAAGTAAGACCCCCAAACACCTTTCATAATACCAAGTCTCGCCGGTCGGCCGCCCACTACCCGACTATACCAAAAGTACCAAAAATACACTCCAAGTACCTCCAAGCGCATAGTCAAGAGCGATGCGGGACGTATCCGCGTGTATCGGCCGATACAGAGACCCCCCCTCGGCCTCGGCCCGCTTCCGATCAACGAAGCCGTCTTAAATTTACCCAAATACCCAAAAGATGCAACAGGTTCCAACGCAGCAACTCTCACATCAACCTCAATATCCTGTTTATCTCCAGACTCCCACAAGCATCAACCATGACCCTCGTACACATCGGTCCGTTCCCCCGCAACCACCTTCCCAAACCGCACCCATCCTAACCCATGAGCCTCCGCAGTCCTCTTTAAATTCCGCTCCGACGTGAGCGACGAGCACAAAAAGACCTTCGTCACCGAGCTCAAGAAGCTCAAGAGTCTCCCGTGCGTCAAGGATGGCCGGCTCATCGTCGGGGGACCCAGCGTGACGGACCCGATCGACCGCAGCAAGGGGTTCCAGATCGCGCTGGTGAGCTACCATGAGAATCTGGCGGCGTTGGCGGAGTACCAGGCGAGTCAGGAGCATCACTGGTTTGTCTTCCACTCCCGTGTCAATTCCGTGTGTGTCCAGGCTAATTTACGGGGACAGGGTGACGTCGACGTATATGTTCCCGTACAAAGAGGACCTCGTGCGGTTCGACTTCGAGGTCGATCCGGAGGATGAGTATATGTGTCAGTTTGCGGTATGAATTTGACTACGGGGGATAGTGGGGCGGAGGCACTTTGTATTTGGTAGATTTGTCAATAATAGTGAAGATAGATCCGCATGAAGCATACGTTGTACTCCAATCAAAAGACGACAGACTACATCTGCAACCGCAGCGCACTCTTCCGCCACCCCTGCCTCCTTGCCCGCTTCCCACCGATCGGGTTCGGCCTGTTGGTCGTCGTGTTGTACGTCGCCAGCGGATCCAGCACCTCCCACTGCACGGTCCCATTGCCCTCGCGGTAGGTGCTCTTGACCGACCCGATCGTCCTGTACCCCTCCGTCCCGGCATCCACGGTCCCCGTCGCCACGTCCTTGCCCGAGATGACCCGCTCGAACATCTCCAGCGCCAGCAGAGGTTGGTAGAAGGGGACCTCGTGGCCGCTCTCGTAGACGCGCACGAAGGCGAAACGGCCGGCCTGGCGCACCTGGCCGTGCACCACCGCGTCCGAGGTCGTGATGTTCGTGTAGCCCGCGGCCGCGAAGCCGGGGGCGCCCACCGCGGCGGCGACGGCCTCGCCGCCCAGCCAGTTGCAGTTGTAGTCGGCGTCGCCGGCGTACATGGCGACGGCGACGCCCTGGCGGAGCAGGGCGGCGACGTCGGCGGTGGTGCGCATGCGGCGGCCGTCGTCGCCCGTCGCCGAGAACGCCTCGTACACCGCGTTGTTGCTCTCCGTGAAGTTGACGAACGCCCCGATCGCCGCCTGCACCCGCGCCGTGTTCAGGTAGTCCACGTAGAACTCGTAGGGAAACGGGTCCGGCGTCAGCTCCCGGATGTCGTACTCGTCCCGCCCCAGGTACAGGTCGTAGATGCTCTCCACCTCGTTCGCGCAGAACGAGTCCGCCGTGCTGCAGATCGCGTCCGTGCCGCGCGCCGCGCAGTCGCGCAGCTGGCTTAGGCAGTTGCCCGGTCCGTAGACGTTGTTGTACAGGAGGGCGCTGATCGAGGCGTTGTAGGGCCGGTAGTCGTAGGTGTTGCCGGGGTAGACCTGGTGGTTGGGGGGGGGGGGGGGGTTAGTGAGTCTTTGAACTGTGTATATGACGCAAGGAAGAGAGGCTCACGGTGAAGTTATAGTAGGCCTGGTACTGGATGATCGGGTCGTACCATCCGTTCCCGATCATCACGCTCTCCAGCTGGATCTTCTTGGCCCCGTGCGGGAGATGGGCGTTCTGCTGCTCGATGTACTCGTTGAAGACGGGCCCGTAGTGACCCCCGTAGCTCTCGGTGGTGAAGTGGAAGGATTCGCGCGAGTACTGCGGGAAGGCGCCCATGAAGCCCTGCAGCGCCCGGTAGAAGTTGGGGGCGGCGTTGTCGGTCGAGTTGGCCGTCAGGCTGATGTTGGGGTACGAGTAGGTGCCACACGAGAGGCCGGCCGCATAGTCCGGGCAGCTGGTCGAGGGCAGGCTGATCACGTTGCTGGTCTCGGAGTCGACGTAGCCCGGGACGGGGATGCTGTAGGAGAACCCGGTCTGCACCGGCTGGTCAATGTACAGCATGTTGCTCGCATTCGACCACGAGTACGGGTTGTTGTACACGGAGCCATTCGCGTCGACTCCACAGGGGCCGTTCTCCTGGAAAAGACCGATCATGGACGACGACCCAGGACCTGGAAGTTTTGATATCAGAATTGTATGGCAAGCGATAGTTCACCAGGGTTGGTCTACCTCCATTGATCCACACCGTCAGCGGGGCGTCTTGGGGATCTTGGTTCCGCGCTTCGAAGAACCAGAAGAAGATGTGTTCGTCCTCGGCCACATCGAAGTAGCCAGAGAAACTCTTCACACTGGGATCAGTTTCGCAAATCCCGTTGGGGACCTGCTTGTACCGAACGGGGACATCGAGATAGCCTTTGGTGGAGATCAGGTCCGTCGGAGGGGCAACAAATTGGGCCTGGGTGAGTGGCCAGGCACCCAGCAATGCGACAGACCAGAGAGATCGCATTGTCACGATGCTCTGAACACTGGAAGTACAAGTTATTTAGTATCGTATTCAATGGCAGGGGGCTTGGCTTGGCTTTTATGCTAGCATCACCAGGCGTTATCTCCAGGGTATCGGGGAAGATGAAAGGAGTGGAGCCTGGAGGAGGCTGGAGCAATGCAATGCAGTGGAGTCAACAAATTGCCCCAATTAGCGGTGTAACCTCGGCTCTGGACGCGCAAATCAGAGGCTTGCCTTCCCCCTCTTATCAGCACAATGCGGATCAGATTGCATCACCTCGCTATCAATTAAACTCCTTTGGGGTATTTGTTGATGATTGCTCGATGCTTATATGTAATGCTCCTCCGGAGTCCGTAGGAGATATTTGATGTCTAGTTAACTAGATTATATGTCGTCACTTAAGCATTGCGTGCATTTGGCAGCAGAATAATTTCAGAGAACTTCAAGCCAGCAATGATTATCCGCAACCATCTATTTTACATCGAATCTCACTCACACTCTCCCCGTTGACGAGGTGATGCCTCCATCTACCACCAATTCCTGCCCCGTGATATACCGGGCCTCATCCGAGGCAAGGAAGACCGCCGCATTGGCTACATCCCAGGCATCGCCCATGCGACCCATGGGCACCTGTGCGTCCCGCTTCCGCATGTACTCCTCCTCATCCCCGCCGGGCGCATACCGCTTCGCCAGTTGCTGCGTGTACGGGGTATAGATCAGCCCCGGCACCACCGTGTTCAACCGCACCTTCCTGGCCGCATAGATGACCGCCGTCGCCTTGGTGAACTGCATGATCGCCGCCTTGGTGGCCGAGTACGCGACCTGCGGCTTGCCGATGTACCGCAGCCCCGCAATGCTCGACACATTGACGACCGATCCCCCGGTCGCTTGCTTCTCCATGATCGGCAAGACATGGTGACAGGTCAGATAGATGCTCTTGAGATTCAGCTCCACCTGCGCGTCCCAGACGTCTTCGGCCATGGTGGCCGGACCCCCCGGCTCGGACTTGCCGACGTTGTTGACGAGGATGTCGATACGACCGTGCTTGCGCATGCAGGCGTCGACCAGCGCTTGTACGGAGGCGGAGTCGGTGACGTTGGTCTCCTGGACATCGCACACGCCGCCGGCCTCCTCGATGCGGGACTTGGTGCGTTGCGCGGAGGCGAGCGAGCGGTTTCCGCCGTAGATGAGGGCGCCCTGCTGGGCCAGTTTGGCGGCGATGGCCGCCCCGATGCCCCAGCCTTCCTCGGTGGTTTGGCCCAGGCCGGTGATCAGGACGACTTTGCCGTCTAAGCGGAGCATGATGTGATGTGTGGAGATGAAAGCAATATTTTGATATTTTGGATATACTTTGTAAGAAGAAAAGCCAAGCTCCTACTAACAGCCGGCTCTTATCAGGGCTTATCGTCGGCGGATCGTATCCGCTACCCTCGGATGCTGTCCGGTCCGCATCCGCCACGAGGACCACAAGATTGGAACGGGCTAACGGATTTTCCCCGGCCGTGCTAATCTTCACATCCCCTCGCGGCGAGTCTCCGTTTGATCCATGCATTGGTTGCATAGTGCCTAATGCCAGACTCTTCTCCATATATTGCACCTGATGGACTCCTCCAGACGCGCGCGCAATCGCGCCGCCTGCAGACGCTGCCAGCGTCGCAAGATTCGTTGCGATGGCATCACCCCTACCTGTGGCGCATGCCGGAAATCGGGCGTTGCTTGCGTTAATGATGGAAAGCAGGAAGTGCACCGCTCGTTAGTCGCTGCCGTAATTCGAGAGAGCCTAATTCCCCATACTAATACGATAGCTGTAGGTACATTGCGAACATGGAAAATAGGATCAAGTGGCTGGAGTCGATTGTTCGAGAGAAATGCTCGAATGTCGACCTGAGTAATGGCCCGGAGCGGCACTCAGAGACCCTAGACGAGTCAATCGTGGACGATAGTTTGCAGCAGAACCATGCATCTCCGCAAGCATCGCAGCAAAACCCTCTTGAAGCTAGTCAAGCCACTCTGCCGACGCCCGATCAGTCAATCTCCCAGGCTACAGCTGTCGTGGCGGAGGGGAACGCAGCCACCCTACCCACCCCCGACCAGTCGATCTCACATCATGCCCCCATGCAGGACGAGCCACACCAAGCCCACGAGATCGGTCTGGTGTCTCTCTCCCGTGGGACTGATCCCCGTTACATCGGCCCGTCAAGCGGATACTTCTTCGCCAAGCGCATCTTCTCGAATACAGGGTGGCGCGGCCGGCAGGAATCCTCCTCCAGCGGCAATCTGTCTCACCTCCCCGTCGAGTTGCTGAACCCGCCAGCCACGCTGCCACCCCAGAAAGAGGTCGCTGTCGAGCTCTCGACCACGTACTTTCGAACCGTCCACCTCCTGTACCCATTCCTACACGAGCAGCGTCACATTGAACTGCTGAATGAAGTGTACAGCGCCCCGGAGGAAAACCCAACCAGCACGTTTCAGGTGTATATGGTTTTGGCGATCGCGTCCCTGAACCTCTCCCGTCAATGCAAGCTCCAGCTCCCGGTGGAAGGCTACTATGCGTCAGCGATGAAGTACGTGGACTACGTTTGCCACGATGGGTCGATGGCTGCGCTGCAGTGCTTGTTGCTGCTCATGGTCTACGCCCTGTACAACCCCTCTTGCAACGTCAACATCTGGAATCTGAACTACCAGTGCCTGGCAAGCGTGATAGACTTGGGGCTGCAACGCGACGTTCGCGCCTCTCCGTCCTACCAGATTTCTCTGTTCACCCAGGAGATGCGGACGCGGGTGTTCTGGGTGGCGTACACATTTGACCGCACGGTCTGCACCATGATGGGTCGACCGATCGGACTCAGGGACGAAGCGTGTGAGATCCGGGTACGCCTGAGCCTTCATACTAGAATCTCGTACTTACTATTGATGCTGTACTAACCAACGACAGTTCCCCCTGGATATTCCCGACCGCAACCTCATGAACCGCACTGCCAACCAGCCCGTATCGCTGGACGCGCCATCCCACATGTCCTATTCAATCCACCTCTTCAAACTGGCACAGCTCAACTCCGAAATCAAATACGTCATGCACAGCATCTGCCGCGACGCGCCCGCCTACGCATACCCGCCCGTGAAAGACATCTTCGGCTGGCAGCGGGACATGATGCGATCCCTGCAAGAGTGGCATGCCGCCGTGCCGCAGCACCCCCGGGATCAAGACAACACCGGGATGACCCCGTACTGCCACGCCAAGTACCACGAGACGATGGTGCTCCTGCTGCGCCCCAGCCCGGCGATCCCTGCTCCCGCCCCGGAGATGCTGGATCTGTGCGTCCAGCACGCCTTCATGCTGCTGCAGTGCTTCGGCGATCTGTACGACGCCGGCCGACTGCTGTACAGCCGCCTGGCCGTGCACGCCGTCTTCCTGGGGACGCTCGTCCTGCTGCACGGGATCTGGAAGCTGTCGGAGACGGCGACGCGATTCCGTACGGACGAACTCATCCGCCGGCTCAACTCCGCACAGAGCATCCTGGGCAGCATCGGCGAGCACTGGGCGGAGGCCGCCAGCGCGCGCGACTGCATCGCCCAGCTGTCCAACGTGACAGTGCAGCGGCTGCTCAAGAGCCCGGCGGGCCCCGGGGAGACCGCGTCGTCGCCGGTGCGCCATCGTCTGCGGGATCCTGGCGTCCCGGCGGCCCAGCTGCAGCATGTTGACCAGAGAGGTAGGGCCGTGCAGGGGCAGAGCTCCACTTATTACGAGGACGATCCCACGCTCTCGTGGCAGGCGGGGCTGCCGGGACAGCCTCCTACTGCTGCTCCGTCTCCGCCGTCGGAGTTTTTGAACCTGTTCGATGACCTGCTGCGGTGTGATTTCCAGAGCTGGAGCGGGGTCTCGGATCTGGACGGGTTGATTCGGGAGATATTCAGTAGCTCTCAGCATGAGAGCTGATGGCTTTCATTGATTACACCAACCCGTTAGATGTGACTTGCCTGTTTCCTTAGATAGTACAGGTTACATTTCTTTGATTGGATGGGAAAACCATTCACGCAACCCACGCCCAGGAGAAGCCGCCCGGCTACTTCCGACGGAACAAGCCGCGCGCGACCGAGTCTGGCTCTGGCTCTCGGAAGCGCTCCGTCTTCCGACTCACTCGGATTTCCCCTCACCCGCACCTTCCCCCACCATAAAAAAAAAAAGGCGACCCCAAGATCACCACCAAACAAACCCGCAGTTGACCCTTTCCTTTCCTCAATCAAACCCCACACAACCACTTCGGGCTCAATTCTCTCACACCATCAACAATGGCAACCGCTCCCAAGATGACGCCCGAGGAGACGCTGGCGCACGTGCAAACCGTCAGCGCGACCCAGCGCGCCAACAGCCCCATCTACGCCCACCTCCTGGCGGACGTGACCATCACCGCCGCCACCGAGGGCCACCTGCTGGCGACCCTCCGCATCGCCCAGCCCCACATCAACTCCAAGGGCGGGCTGCACGGGACCATGTCCGCGTGCCTGGTCGACTGGGCCGCGGGCATGGTCATCGCCACCTACGGCGGCAGCTACACGGGGGTGAGCACGGATCTGCATGTCTCGTACGTGGCGTCCGCCCGGGAGGGGGAGACGCTGGAGGTGACCGGGCGGGCGATGAAGGTCGGCGGGACGATGGCGTACGTCTCGGTGGAGATCTGTAAGGTGGTGCCGGATGAGACGGGTGGGGGGGAGAAGAGGGTGGTGGTCGCCACGGGGCTGCATACGAAGTTTGTGAAGCAGCGGTGATTGGTGTCCAACCCCTAAGAGTTGCGCTATGCTTTGGGTGGAAGATGTGCATGTTCATGGATGGCGTTGTTTCTGCTGAGCTGCTTCTTCTATGGATGGACTACATGTACATTATAGATGAGGAGGGTGGAATTGTGATTTAAATCCACGGGTTATCTTCATGTCCAAAGGAGCATCTACAAGGTATCGACTCACAATCAGGACCCCCAACAACTTCTCACTTCAGTAAACTCCCCCGGCCCTTTCCTCATCACCCTGCCGCGCCTTGCCCAACAGACTCGCCCGAAGCGACCGAAGCCCCGGTCGCCCTCCCTGCGCATCACCTTCGGCAGCAGTCCGAGTATACGTATCCGGCTGATTATTCTCGATGATCTTTTCGGCCGCCAGGTACCGCCGCAGCGCTACGAGACCATAAGGCTCCAGTGGCTTCCCATCGCTTGGTATCGCCTACCAGCTGGTAGCGGGTATGGTATCCCCATGTGGCACTTTTAATTCTGATATCCCTATCCATTTCCCCTATCCTCCAATGTGTTTCATGAGCCCCCAGTCCCTCAGACACAGCAAAATAACAGGTTTGATTCTGCAGAGTCTGGTTGTCATGTGTCCTTGCGAGCCAAGCCCTACCTCCGAGACGTTGCTGAAAGTCACGTCGGCAAGGTGAGTGAAAATGGCATGAGTCAACAATCTCCGGTCGGCTGTATCATTTTCTGCATCGCAAGCGAAACAGAAGTCTCAGTTTGTAGTCGAGAAGATGATTGTCTTATTGGCGCTGTTATGTTGGTTGCAGAGCATGCTCGTTCTTCGCGGTATGTGACAAATAGCCTCTCCACCTTGCCTCTTCCCAGGCGTAAAGAAAATAATAATAATAAAATAAAAAAAAAAAAAAAAAAAAAAGACGCAAAGTATCTACATGCCTATAGTCTCATATAGTGAAGAGTCGACGAGAAGCGACTCAGACCTTAGCCACGACTTGCGACAAATGTCGGCGGTCAACACGGAAGTATGAAGTCAAAGACGGACACGGATACGAGATCCATGGATCGACGCCAACTCAACCAGCTAACCACAGACGGGAACAAGATACGAGCAACCTGGTTCAGTCACAATCATAGATCCTCTCTTCAGGCTATTCAGGTGGTTCAACGAGAACTCAACCTCGCAACAAGCACGGAACTAGGCCGGAGCTGTCACTGTAGGTGTACATCACAACTCAGTAGTGTCAAGCTCAGGTACAGACTAGTGGTCATAGTTCGGAACGTCTTAAGTGGCTTTTACTACAGTACTGAACATTGTGGTACGTGCAGAGGAGCAGGCACGTATCTCCCAAACCCACACGAGCTCCTGGAGCTACACTGATATGGTATAGCTCAACCCTGACGAAGGGAGGTCCGGGCGGAAGCCGTGAGGAGCTCGAGATGCCAGGAGCATTTGAAAGCACCATTAAGGTTCGGGTTGGTGAGCCTAATACGAACCACGAACCATTCATCATCACAAGGCTGCATGCGGCCGTCGTGAGCTTCAGTGCACAGCCCCCACAGCTGCACCGACTAGGCTCTTGGTCCGAGCTTGAGCTTACAGCCACAGCGATCACTGGTTTGATCTTGGCTTCTGCTACAATGAGGAATCGGAATCTGGGCCACAGGCCACTTTCATACGACGGGGGCGGCCGGCGCATTTTCATCCACGAATTGCGCACGGCAGGCTCACTGCAATGTTCAAAGTCCCCCTCGTCGTGCAATCACCAGTTGAGGGCTGCGCTCCTAGAGGCCGGTTACACAGCCATGGTCTCTGGCATGTGAGTTGATATTGAGATCGTAATCCGGCCGCTCCTTCGGTCCCGAATATTGTAAAACTGTGGACCGGTGCTCCAGACCCAGCACTACGGTTGGATAAAACAGACATGGCCAGCTCAAAATACCTTGAAGATCCCACTTGTAACGATTCAGTGTCAGGCTTCTCTTTAACGTTTTCGGCTGCTCGTGTTGAAACCGGGCAATCCTTGCAACATCCCCCAAGTGGCAGCTTAGCCTACAACACGAACTTGTTTCAGACGCCTGCACCACACGAGTCCTTTGTCTTCAGCTTTCCTGCGCCACAGCCAAACTGAAAAGCTCCGAGTCATTTGACAGGTGTTGCGCAATTACTTCGGAAGAGATAGACATCGGCAGTCGAGTCCAGACCATTGAACGACCTCCAAAGTGGTAACACACTGATCCCTCATGACAGGGTGCACCCTGAACGACATAAATACGGTCTAATCCTCCGGGTCAAGGGCTCACTTCTTCTCTCAACAATCCCAATCCCATCACACCCTCAATCACCCACCATATCCAACCAAGCTGGACTCCGTCGCCAAAGACTGGTGTGGAACCTCGATCCGCAACCGACCCAAGCCCATCATCATGTCCAACCAGCAGGCCACCCTCGACCCGGGCCGCGCCAGCTTCTTCGACGACCTGAAGGGCGCGGTGGGGCAAGAAGCCCTAAAGACCCTCGACCCCTCAACCGACCTCTCCGACGAACAGCCCGACGAGCCGTCCTCCACCTCCGGAGGCCCAGCGAGGTACACCTGCTCGACCCAGAAGCCCACCCCGGTGACCTTCACCGATGCCACCAGCACCAGCAGCAGCGACCCGGCGGCCAAGACCGCCGCCCTCCAAGTCGGCTTCGGCAAAGTGATCCCGCGGTGGAAGCCCGGCCCGAACCAGCGCATCAACTTCGCCGCGTTCGCCAACGGGTACCCGAAGGCCGAGTGGGCGACGCTGGCGGCCAACGCGCTGAAGGCGGCCGCGGACGAGTGGAACCGGCTCGAGCTCGGGGTGAGGCTCGAGTGGGTGGCCCGGCTGGAGGACGCGGCGTTCGTGCTCTCCTACGGCGGCAGCCAGGGCGGGGTTCTGGCCGAGGCCTTCTTCCCGAGCCCGATCGACCTGAACTATCTGAACGTGTACGAGTCGGCCTTCGCCCCGGGCACCGTCGCCTACCTGAAGAACATCTTCCTGCACGAGCTCGGCCACGTCCTCGGCTTCCGGCACGAGTTCGCCCCGGAGCTCGAGGATACCCAGGATGACTACACCGTGCAGCTGGGGCCCCGCAACCCGCTCTCCGTCATGGCCTACGAGTTCCCGCCGCAGCTGCAGACCTCCGACGAGGACAGCGCGCGCGCCTTCTACCGGTTCCCCGGCACGCAGCTCGGGTGGGGGGAGGCGCGGAGTCGCGCGCCCCGGTCCGGGCGGATGCTCAAGATCGTGGATGTGGAGCCGAACAACTAGGCTTGGGGATAGGGTCGGGAGAATGGGACTGGTCTTGCAGTCTTGTCGGGATTCATTTCGATGTGCTTATTTGGTGCGTCTTCCATGAAACTGCCATGCTACCCCTCCGAACGCGTCTGAGGATGATGCCTTTGTCGTAGTTGTGCTCTATATATGTCCCATGAGCCGAATGCCAATCACTAGGTAGTCCCAGGAATCAAGATGATTATGCAATGGGTCGGGGAGTGCGAATTACCCAGGCCTGTGGTTTCGAAATCCTTCTCAAAAGTGACCCATTCAGCAGCGCTGCGTCATGTAGCCAAATATTTCATAATTCTGTCAACAATTGGGGCTGTGGTTTAGTGGTATAATATTCCCTTAGCATGGGAGAGGTCCGGGGTTCGATTCCCCGCAGCTCCATTCTTTTTGGCTTTGTGCTGGGCAGCCATTCTGGAGGAGGTAGCTCCTTTTCACGGACGGGCTTGTGTGGGTCTCGTCGCTTTTTGCTGGCAGCATCGGCCGGCGCGTCGAGTGGATTGACCGCAAGGTATACCCGAAGAACAATATGCACTGCCTCGTCTTGTTGGAACCAGGTGTAAGTCCTTGAGTCTAAGCGGGTGTGACCTGAAGGCTGGTGCTAGGAATATGCGAGGGGTGCGTGACAATCGAGTGACTTGGTCCATGTGCCTTTAGAATTACCCCTACAAAGTGAGCCGTCAGCCTTGATTCTAGGTGTGGTGTTGGGGTGTTGGGATGCATGAATCCAGGAATATGTTACTAAAACACCTATGGATGGTTGTGCTCATCCGGAATAGTAGTATTGAGGATTGAGGTCCTGGATTCATTAAAGTCCTTGGCCGGGGATGAGGTCATTCATTGGGAATAGGGTAGTGTAGAGCAAAATGAGAGTGCACAAGGGGAAGGTTGCTGCTGAAGCAGCAAAAAGCAAAAGGAAATCTCCCCGACTGGGAGTCGAACCCAGGTCTCCCGCGCTTGTTCCCGAATGGGATTGACAAGCGGAAATCATGACCGTTAGACCATCGAGGAAGGGATACTAACCTTGTGTAATCTTGAACTTATCACGGGCTAATACCCAAAAGGCCCGAAAGAATGGAAGAAGGCAAAAAAGATGGACTCGCCGGGAATCGAACCCGGGACCTCTCCAATGCGAATGGAGCGTTATACCCCTAAACCACAAGCCCTTGTTGTTTAACTGAGTTTCTAGTTTGGTATATGTACCATGGTTTTGAGTCATCGAGTCAATAGACAATGCACCTTATTCGGGTCCGATGGTGTATAATTCACTCAAAATCTATTCATTTGGTGGTCAATTATGATATACCAATGAAGTGGATGATGTAGTGTGTCTAGCTATGTATAGATATCCATTCTTCACCTTTGGGCTCTTGTCATCTTTTCCACCAAACAGTTCACCTCGAATATATATACGCATGAGTGAGACTCCACTTGACAGCCAGCACATTGTAACCCAACCACCAACCAACCAACCTTGATATCGAGGCATTCACATCACAAAGTGTAATATATCGAGAACCAGTCCCCTCCAAAGACCTCCGTGGCGAGACCAAACCCCGACATTCTCCCACTCGCTGTCGCAGTTACACAAGCCGACAGGCAGTAAGCTCCAGAAAACACCCCATAGATTGTAATGATACGCTCACCGCTACGACACATCCAGGGCTGGCGAACTATCCCAGCATACTGGGAGCTAAGTTGTACGGCTCCAATTCATCACTCGATGCACAAGCAGCCCAAACAGAAGCTCAACCGCAAGCCCCAGAGCTCCCACCACATAGACAGAACAAAGAAAGCCCTGCTTCCAAGTCAAAGCCGCACCGCACAAGGGTCCTGTAACTGGCATAACCGGTATACGGCCTTGGCTAATGCCCAAAGAGAATAGTCTCGAGAGATGCGCACACTGGCATAATGGCACACCAGAGTCTCCACAGAGCATGAAAAGATTAACACCACTGCCAACAGGACTTATGACCTTCCAATCGTAAAAAAAGGATCGATAGTCTAGCCCCGGTGCAACAAGCGATAAGAATACCAGGGAACCAAGCAGCATGGCGGCACCCTGTCCTAACTGGCATAGTCCCGTGGGGATGATAGAAGCCGCTGGCGTCGCAAACCCGGAATCGCCTGGCGTCGCCGTTGGCCCGATAAAGGGCCCTTTGGAATCGAGGGGCCTCTCTCTTTTCTTCTTGGGACCAGCTCACGATTTCGGTGTGGGTGCTCAATAAAAGCACGGAACACAATCACGGACAATAGATGACGTGCTATAGGTAGTCCAACCCAAGCTTCGGCTGCATCGGAAATGTTTCAGGTGTCGAGATTTCGTTTCTCGACTGACACATCGGTACGATCCTGCCGGCCCCCCCCCTTTTTTTTTTTTTTTTTTTTTTCTTATCAGAGGTCAAGCCCGGATCTCGCGGAGCGGGCAGCGGCAGCGCGAGCCTCGGCATGAGCTTCGATGAGTGGAGCTCAGGAGAAAAATCCAGACGGGTGGGCCAATCAGTGCTATTGTTCTGTTGCACCACTCCATCTAAGCGTTGGAACTACCTAACCTATACAGGTACCCATCGTGCAACCGAGATCTCGTCGCTCGATTCGCCGGGGTGTTCACAGAACCCCCGTTCTGGAGCCGCAGCACTGGAGCCATCATATTTGTGCGGGAGGAAAGCAAAGCAAGGACCGGGGATGGATACTATTTAATAAGGGTGGGAGGGCCCTCTTCGAGTACACCAGCAATCAAAATTGAGACAAAACACACGCAGCACCATGAGCATCACATTCGACGTATTCCGCGGGTCGCCCGAGGGGCGCATCGTCGCGGACAAGGTGACGCGCGCCCTCGAGCTGCACGAGGTGTTCATCGAGACCACCCACTCCGGGGTCTGCGGCACCGACGAGCACTACCTCAAGGCGGGCAATGTGCTGGGCCACGAAGGGGTGGGCATCATCCGCGCCCTGGGGGCCGGGGTCAAGTCCGTTCAGGTCGGGGATCGTGTGGGATTCGGCTATACGCACAGTATCTGCGCTTCCTGCGAGGAATGCGTGACCGGTATGTCTTTTCCAACGTGTTTTTTTTTTTTTTTTTCGTTTTTATTATCGGGGTTGTGTCCGAAAAGGCAACTTACCCCGAGACTCCTAGGCCATGATCAGTACTGCCCGAACGTCAAGATGTACGGGTTCCACGACCGGGATAACGGCTCGTTCAGTTACGGCGCGGTCTGGGACGAGAACTGCGTCTACCGCATCCCCGACGGGTACGACTCGATCCACGCCGCCCCGCTGATGTGTGCGGGCGCCAGTGTGTGGGAGATCTTCATGCAGTACGGGGTGCGGGCGACGGACCGGGTGGGGATCATGGGCGTCGGCGGCCTCGGCCACGTGGCCATCAAGCTCGCCAGCGCCATGGGGTGCCAGGCTGTGGTGCTGTCCAGCTCCGAGGCGAAGAGGCAGGAGGCGATGGACTACGGGGCGTCGGAGTTCCATGTCTTCCAGTCGGGGGGCCCGGTGCCCGCGGGGTTCCGTCAGGTGAAGCATCTTCTGCTTTGTGGGAGTGCTGATGTAGATTATTCTTCGTAAGTGGCTGTCGACCCTGTCTTCGCTCCTTGTGAACTTGTGCCATTAGCACCCAGATTGCATCCAACGGTCTTACTGACGCACCGCTAGTTTGATGCCATTGGTGGCGACTCGCGGCAGCATCTACCCTCTCACGCTTACCCTGAAGCCCGCCGCGGTGCCCTTGGCCCGCCTCTTCCTTCGTGGCATCAAGATCCAAGGGTCGTTGGTGGCCTCCCGCCAGAATATCCGGTCCCTGTTCGAGTTTGCAGCGAGGAAGAATATCACCCCCACGACTATGACCTTCCCCATGACGCCAGCGGGCATTGAGGACGCGATGAAGACTCTGAGGGAAGGGAAGATGAGATATCGGGGAGTCTTGGTACGGGACCTGCAGTAGGACTAGGTGTCATCAGACACCGATATTGATCTGTATTGTACATACGAAGCGAAGAAGAACAACACATCATATCCATTCAAGGCACCAAGTGCGTAGCCACACCCCAGATCTCAAAATCAGCAACGCCCGCTAAATGTCAGCCACATAAATGCCAGAAACAAGACATCATTCGTTACCAGCCAGACAGGATCAGACTGCATTCTGGGCGGAGATCATATGTTCGATCGACCGGGCGGTCTTCCTCCGCAGCATATACCACCCGCCCATCGTGACGACAGTCAGCGAGACGGTCAGGACCAGCAGGATCCACCACTGCGACGAGATGTAAAGCTCCGAATGGCCCGGGGTGTCTCCTTCTGAGCGAGACGGCCCAGCGATAATGTTGGTTCCGAGTATGGTCTGGGGGGGGTGTGTGTGCCTGTTAGCCCTAGTTTTCACCGTCAAGACTGCAGATAGGGCACCCACGGCAATGAAGGTTCCAGGGAGGAAGAGCATGGTCACCACCGAGATGGTGCTCATCGAGGCGCTCTCATGCATGGCATACTTGGTCATCTTCGTGCTGGATTGAGTGTTGATGCGCGAGCTCATGTTGAACAGCTGTTTAGTGTAAGTCGTCGATATGATCTATTGAAACAGGGGCTTCTCACCAATTCCAGCAGCCGCTCCACCCGCCTCGCAACATCCTCCACCGACGACTTGAAGTAGGCGATCTGATTCTCGAAGCGATCGAATTCCTCCTCCATGCGGAAATACAGCCAGTCGCGCTCGGGGACGCCCGCCTTGCCCTCGACGAGGGTCTGGAAGGTCTCGTGCTGGATGCGCAGCCGCGCAATCACGCCCAGAATGAAGCTCATCTGGATCTTATCCTGGTCGAGACTGGTCAGGGTGAGATGGAGCTTGTGCAGGTCGATGCGGGCGAACTCGTCCATGCCCCCGTGCACCCTCGCCTCCTCGTCGCGGATCGTGTCGCGCGGCTCGCGGGCAGCCCGCCGGAAGTACTGGATGGTCGGGTTGAAGTGCATCACCGAGGTGATGAACGGGTTCTTCACGAGCGCGGCCGTCGTGGGCTCCCGGACGAACGCCTGCAGGTTGTCCACCAACTCCTCGTGCAGGCGCTGCGGCAGGTCGTTGAAGGATCGGTACTTCAGTAGGACGAGCGTCGACTGCGACCGCGCGTCGTATCGCGTCACGATCGTCATCTTGAGATCGGCTTCCTTGCCTAACCGTCGCACGTAGGCGCGGGCTCGGATTGCGTACCAGAATTCTGAACCAAAACATCCATGAGACGATTGGTCTATGTTGTGGCCATTGGCAAGTCCTTCACTCACCGAAGGAGCGCATCTTTCCATCCTCATCGCGCTGCTGTCGCGAGCCGAAGATCTGTTCCTGGCCACGGATGTGGGAGGCCGCGGCGGGCGCGATGTCGTATCGCGTCAGGATCTTCAGAAGGCAGCTGCGCGTGATGTTAAGCTGCGACGGCACGCCGTCCTCACTCTGGTCGAGAGTCTTCTCGTTCGCGGGCTCAGTCACCCGATCGCTGATGAGTTCGTTGGTGAGCAGTGCCTTCAGGACCGCAGGGTCGTCGATGGTGTGGAGTAGTCTCTCCTGTGGGGTCGGCTGCAGCAGAACAATTCGGAGCTGGGGATGGTGTTCTGCCTGCGCTTAGGGTTAGCATACTGTATGTATTGGATGGACTCTTTGCGACCGGGCAGAAGTTGGATAGAGGGGGGTAACTACAGCTAATAGTCGATCCATCTCTGCATCATCGCAAAAGCGGGCCGACCCCAGGCCATGGTCATGCTCCAGGACCATCACATTCGAGACGGGCGCATATTTCTCGGATCGCCACGATCGGGACTCCTCCTTCAGCTCTCGCTGGCAGAAGCTTCCATCGTCCAGGCCCGAACAGTAGGATGGCAGCGAGAAGGGGTACTGCGAGTGTATCGACATCCCATAACCTAACCACTATCGCAGAGAGTCGGTATGCGGCAAAAGACGATCCAGACATGGCGACGCGAAAGGAAAAAGAGGTCTTATGAGCCTTATCACCATTGCAGTAAGGCTGTGAGGCAGCCAAACATGGATTTAGCTGCATGAGGCTGGCATATGCGCCAACATGCGCCAACATGCGCCAAGTCCGCACCGCCTCATGAATACGAGAGGCTGCAATCATCCGCCTGCTTCAAGCCTTATCACCACCGCAAATCCCCGCACGCAGTCCTTCTCCTTCCCCTGCATCTTCACCTTCACCCCTTCACACCATCCCATAAACTAAAAATAATGGGTGACGCTGCCAGCCTGCAGGTGCCCTTCTTCACCTTCCCTCCCCAACAGCCCGGGGAACCTTCCACTCGCAATTGGTATCAAGAACTTCTGGACCATCCGGAATGTGCCAACAATCCCGTACGTGGTGGTGCCTATCTATATCACCGCGGTGCTATAGCCAGCCTTCCAGACTAACGCTCTCCCACCGCACAGGCCAAGATACAAGAAGCCTACGAATCCTTCCGAACCGCAAGCCTAGAGCGATCGATTGGCCTGCTCCGCCCGAGTGGACGAGATGACAGCACTGGCGACCGTAATAGTAGCCATCTTGGCCCACCAGCATCGCAGCGCATCACGCTCGACGAAGCGCTCATCCGCTACCTCAAGCTGCAGACCGACGAGACGGACGGAGCCCAGGAGATCGAGCAGCTGAGCCAGCAAGATGTGAATTGCCTGGTCATCTGGACGCGTCCCGACCCACCGATCATGCGCCTGCTCCTCGATATCCAGCGCCGGTTGTCGCGATTCGTAGGGCCTGGTGAGCTGCTACCCTACCCTCCAGTAGAAACAGAATGGGACTCCAAACCCACCGCATCTGCCTATTCATCATGTAGTTTCAAAGTATAACTGACCCAGCGACCCAGACCTCCATCTCACCCCACCTGCATCCCTCCATCTCTCCATCATCGAGCTCTCCCACCGCCACCCGATCGCCCACCTCCGCGAGGTCTACGCCCACATCGGCGAGCCGCAACTCAAGGAGCTCCTCGACACCCCCCGCAGCGAGTACCACCGAGAACAGCGGCACATCGCCCGCCTCGTCAAGCCGAAACTCCTCTTCGACAAGCTAGGCGTGGCGATCAGTTTCGTCCCTGCCGCTGCGGACGACGACGACGACGACGACAACGAGAGCCCGTACACGTATCATCATCTCCGGAACCAGCTGCATACGAGGGCGCTGACCACCGGAGTGAGCATCGATACGTGTTATACGGCGCCGATTGCGCACGTCACGCTCGGTCGGTTTGTGGGCACTGCTTGTTTCCAAGGGGAGGAGGCGGGGGTCGGTGATGGCCCGGGCAAGGCGGAAGAGCAAGAGAGGAGGGCGATGGAGCGGTGGGTGGGCCTGATCATGGAGATCAATGAGGAGTTGGAACGGGAGTGCTGGGGGCAGGTGATCTGGGATGTCGGGCGGCGGACGGCGTTGGAGATTCAGTTGGGGTATATCAAGTTCGGACGCGGGGTGGAGGAGGCGGAATTGGTTGGGGTGCCGATCGAGGCGTGATGCTTGGAAATTAGCTTAGAGTTGAATGGCTGGAGGGGAGGGCAAGATGCGATGCATTCGGGTTAGAATCCATGGTTAGAGTAGGGGTGACATAGAGGTGCATTTTGTCATTAGATGGGACGATGTGCGATTGATACATCGCTCTGACAATCACAGGCTGATTTTACTTTACCAGGTGTAGCAGTCAATTGACCCCACACCTAGAGGTCTATAAGATCCTAAATGCTATCGATCTCCTGGTTGAGTGGACCACGACTCGATTGCAGTCACAGTTAGTGAGTGCAACTCACGGCTATCAGAACGCTTGGGGCGGGCTTTGCCCGTAAAAAGTCTAGTGTAGACTGAATTTTCACATGGTCGTGCTAGATGAAGAACACCTAGGGCTTGAGTCGGTAGACTTGAAGCCACTGTATGAGTCAGGGTAGGACGGGAGAGTACTAACTCCTGAGAAGAATTTAAACGTCCTTGGGAAGCACAACTGATATTTAGAAGAGGTACTGAACATCGGAAACTTGGAATCATAGATTTGCAGATCTGAATCAAGGGTAGTCGGTATTGGCATATTCACAGTGAAAGTAGCAGTGTATACAGCTCACTGTCGCTGCCAATCATAGCCCACTAATCTCCACAGACAGCAACACGACTAACACGAATAATTTAGAGTACGCTGGGACTACATACCAGGCTTGTATTACTCGCAAAATGTGATGATGAAATCATGACTAGAAAATGGGAATCCCCTGTAGGTGGTTATGGTGGTGGTGGTTGTTGCCATAGTTCGCTTGGCGCACGCCATCACGAGCAGCACCCACTAACAAGCTTTATCAATCACCCACAGCTCGAGATCTGCCTGCCCTACTTCCTTCTCGGCCGGTACATGCATAACGCAATTGAGGCCAAAAACAGCGTGACAAACTATTCACAGTAGAGCAATGGCCAAACTCTATCGCCTCACAGTATATACTTAAATCGATGCTCGGGTATCAACACCAAGAAACCAACCGTCCACAACGGCCATTGAACAACCACCCCCATATTATCCATCATGACGGTAATAGATCTGGTGCCCCAGGGCACGGCCTATGGTCTCCTTATCGGCCTGGGCGTCCTCTTCTGCGGGGTGATCCTAGTGGCGATCAAGATCCAGAGAGCGTATCTAGCCGAGGATTCAGGAACATCTGAGATGTTCATGGTCGCAAACCGCTCGGTTGGCACAGGACTGACGGCTTCAGCGGTCTTCTCATCATGGATGTGGATCAATGAGACGGTTTTGTCGGCCGCGATGTGCTATCGCTATGGACTAGCGGTTCCCCTGGTAAGGCACGCAGCCCTAACCTTGGACGAGCGGGCGTTGACACTCAACCTTTACAGTGGTGGGGATCGGGTCTCTGCTTCCAGATCGCATTGATGGCAGCGCTTGGTGTCATGGCCAAGATCCGCGTGCCCTATGCCCACACTTCCCTGGAAATCATCCGCATGCGATACGGATGGGTGGGCCACATCATCTACATGATTCTCAACCTGACCAACAATGTGTTCGGCTGCGCTTCGATGATCTTGACGGGGTCGCAGCTCATCCACGGCGTTTCGGGAATGAATTTTGTGGCTGCTACCATTCTGATACCCCTCGGAGGTAAGAAAAGACATCCAGCGGCGAGTAAGGTGGTGCTAATAATCAATGGTATAGTGGTGCTCTATACTGCCGTCGGCGGCTTGAAGGCAACTTTCCTCACGGACTTTCTTCACACGACTGTCGCTTTGATTCTCATCATCTACTTCACGCTCTCAGTCCTGACCCACGACGCTGTGGGCGGGCTGTCTGGTCTCTATGATAAAGTGGTCGCAACCGCGAGCGAGAACTACATTTCTGGGAACTATGAGGGCTCTCTGCTTACCATGAAATCGAAAGATGCCATTATCTGGGGCCTCATCTTGAAGTTCGGCAACCTCGCGCTGGTTGTCATGGTAAGTGCCGGCAGTCGACTTCTCTCTGCGAGGCATGAATCTAACCGCAACCCGCAGGACACTGCGTTCTGGCAGAAGTCATTTGCCAGTGAAGTCAACTCCACCGTACCGGCCTACAACCTGGCCGCCGTCGCCGTGTTCGGAATACCCTGGGGGCTAGGCACGGTGATCGGGCTGTCTGCGCGGGCGCTGCACAACACCCCCATCTTCCCCACATACCCCGGTCCCCTCACGGCCACGGAAGTGAGCACGGGGATGGTGATGCCCTACCTCGTGAAAGCCCTGCTGGGCAACGCGGGGATGGTGGCCTTCTTTGTGCTGCTCTTCATGGCGCTGACCAGCACGGTCTCCTCGTCGATGATCGCGGTCAGCAGCATCCTCTCCTTCGACATGTACAAGACCTACATCAACCCGACCGCGGGGGACCGCCGGCTGCTGCACGTCAGCCATATCGCCGTCGTCTTCCACGCGATCTTCATCACGGGCATCTCCATCGCCCTCAACTACGGCGGCGCCAACATGACCTGGATCGGCTACTTCCGGCCCATCCTCTCGTGCCCCGGCATCATCCCGCTGGGGCTGACCCTATTCTGGTCCGGCCAGACCCGCCTGGCCGCCATCCTCGCGCCCGTGCTGGGCTTCTTCACAGGCCTGGCCATCTGGCTGGCGACGGCCAAGTCGCTGTATGGCCGCGTGGACATGACCACGACAGGCGAGGGGCTGCCGGCGCTGTACGGCGCCATCGGCTCCTTCTTCTCGCCCGCCCTCTATTCTGTGCTGATCTCCCTCTACCGCCCCTACAAATTTGACTGGCGCGAGTTCCTCCGCATCGAGCTCGTTGCCGACGACCAGAGTTCTGTCTCCCAACCCACCCCCAACCACGAATCCCGCGAGGACAAGAAAGAAGGGCCCGAGCCCGAAACCAAAAGCGTCTTCGTATCCTCCACCTCCCCAACCTCCAACTCCCCATCCCCCTCGCAGTCCCGCCTCAGCCTCGACGAGGTCATCCACCCGTTCTCCCCGGAGACCCTGCGGGAGTTGTACCGCTGGTCGCGCATCGCGTGGGCCACCTTCGTGGCGCTCGTGCTGATCACCTTTGTGCTGTGGCCGATGCCGCTGTACCGGGATTACATCTTCACCAAGTCGTTCTTCGCCGGGTGGACGACGGTGGCGATCATCTGGCAGTTCTGCGCGTTCTTGGCGGTGGTGGTGTATCCGCTGTACGATGGGCGGTTGGAGATCGCCAAGGGGGTTCGCGGGGTGTGGGCTTCGAGTCGGCGGGTTTGGGAGGGGCGGAGAAATTAGTGGGAATTTTATGACTCTAAAGAAATTATACCGATGCTCAGATTCGATAGAGGTAGGTCAAGTTGATGAAAAATGAATTCCGTCATGCTGCTGCATAGTTTAAGTTATCGGACCCTGGAAATGGAGTGTGGAGAAGCCAGCCGAGCAATTGCCGAGCCTTGCCGAAGCCGGACCCACCGGCAAATCCTGCCTTGCGCCCTGCGCATTAACCGAGTTCTTAAATCCAGGGCAGGCTGGGCTGGGGTAGGTAGTTTGGAGCTGCATTCAACCGGTTTACCAGTCAACCAATCGTTGCAGCATTGCTTTAGGTAATAGAATCCCTGGGTTGCTGATCCTCGACCACCCTCGTGACAGCCACTCACCGTCATAAACGTCGAAGTACCCCTTCACCCGGACAGAGTCGACGACACACCTGTATGCTACTCAAAGACACCAGGACTCAATTTTCGACATCCTCTCCGCTGCAACAGCCCCCTGTTCTTCTCCGAACCACCCATGAATGAGCAAGAGTTCCTGGCCCGCCTCCCGCCGTGGCTCAGCCACTGGCTGGGCTACCGCGCCAGCCCTCCCCAGCCCCTGCCCAAGTATCAAGTCTGGCTGTGGTCGTTCATCTCCGCCTTCTGCGGGCTCTGCGTCGTCCAGGCCATCTTCAACTACTCCCACTACTTCCTGGACCGTCACGTACCGGGCATTATCGCCTCCTATGTTCGTTCTCCTTTTGCCCCTGTCCCTTAATCGTACTAACAACAATCAAGGGCGCCTCCGCCGTCCTCGTCTACGGCGCCATCGAAAGCCCGCTAGCGCAGCCGCGCGCCCTCATCTTCGGCCACTTCCTGAGCGCCCTGGTCGGCCTGTGCGTGACCAAGCTGTTCAGCCTGATGCCCGACGCGGAGCGGTTCGAGTCCCTGCGCTGGCTGGCCGCGGCGCTCTCGTCGGCGCTGGCCGTCGTGGTGATGCAGGTCACCGAGACCACCCACCCGCCCGCCGGCGCCACCGCCCTGCTCCCCGCCACCAACGAGGCCGTCTGGCGGCTCTCCTGGTACTACCTGCCCGTCGTGCTGCTCTCCTCCACCATGCTGCTCGCCGTCGCCCTGCTCGTCAATAACTGCCGGCGCCGGTACCCCGTCTTCTGGGTGGCGCCGGTCACGCCGAGGCCGGCGTTGCCGCGGGCGGAGGCGAAGTAGGAGGTGCTTTTTGGGGGCGTCGGGGGGTGGATTGGGGTGGTTGTTGGTGGTAGTGGTGGTGTTTCTTGCAGGGTGTTGCGGGCGTTCATTGGGCTTAGATGTTAGAGGTTGGGTGTTACGGTCAAAGAGCCTTGTGTGATGATTCTGCGTAGGTCTCTCTGGTTCGGAGTTCATAAAGAAAAACATATGTTAATGTAAACAGTACACAGAAGAAGAAACAAAGAAGGATGATGATTTATAGACACTTAGGAGACGAGATATTCATTTCTCATTTCTAGGATTCAGAATAGCTGATAATAATCAGAACATCCTTCTCAGCACAGGATGGATCACGGATGCAGTAACCTCATAAATAACTCCCACTCTCTACTCCGTGTCCACCGTCATATTCACCACCGCCCCGGTGTCGGCAACCCGGGACATGATGCTGCTCAGCTGGCTCGTCGTGCACGAGAGATTGAGCGAGACCCGGTGCAGGTTCGTCTCTGCTGTTTTCTCATGGCTCGCGGCGGGGACTGAGACACGTGGAGAGGACGCCCGGGGCACTAAGTCGAGCTCGGCCATGGTGAGGAATGGATGCAGCGGTTCTGTGGAGGAGTGTCGGGAACTCCTCAGGCTGCACGGGTCAGGCGCAAGGTAGAGTGCCTCGTGCACGGTCCGGGAACTGTTGTCCGTCGGGTACTCGTCTACTGCAGGGTAAGCACACCAGGCGGTATCTGCGAGAATGGCTGTTCAACTGACCAGGAGGGAACAAGAGCATCTGACGGTCCCAATCGTTCTCAGCCTGCGTCGCGTCCAGCACCCGGTCGAAGGACGGCAGCCGGGAGCCGCCAACTGCAGACACTGTCAGATTGGGTGTGCTATCCACCCAACAATCCTCTGTGCTCAATGAGCAGGGCAGGATCAGGCGGGGGTCGATGGTCCCTTGGCCCACCCACGGTGTGGATGTCTCCTGCCAATTACTGGAAGCGTTGTTGGGGGATCGAAGCGACCGGGAAGCTGGCTGCTTGAGCTCGACGGGATGCAGAAACTCCCTCTGCGCGTCCTGGCTGTCGGAGCAATGATCTGAGGTTCTAACTTCTCTCAATTGCTCGTCGCAGTTCCGAGCGATGCCCCTTTGCGGGAAGCTGCGTTTCCTCCTCGGTTTCACCACCCGGTTGCGCCTGTCACCAGGTGCAGGAGGGCCCTTGCTCAGCACGGATGGAGCTGCACTCTCCCCCTTCGCCCGAATCCTCGTATATCGATTCTTCAAACTCAGTCCCGTGCGCGGAGGGTCGTGAAATGCCGCAATCGCCGACCAGTTGGTGCCATGCGTTTGGACCGCCTTGAGGAGTTCTTCGTCCTGCTCGCCTCCCGGTTCGTATCAGCTGTCGAGCTCAAAGTAGTATCAAGAATGACTGATTACCTCTTGTTCAGTCCAATTACAATAACTGACATCAGGCCGCAACACCTGCCGCCAGTGACTAGAGCACTGATCGGCGCAGCGAGACCCCACGAGGGAGGCGATCTGAGTCCAGTTGTTGCCATGCTCCCGCACCGCCTCGCTGAGTCGCTTGTCCTCCTCCGGCGACCAGACGCCCTTGATCTTGCCGCCGGCCAGCGTGTTCCACCACCGCTTGCGGCAGTCTTTGTTCGAGCGGCCAGGGACTTTCTGGGCGAGCTCGCTCCAGAGGACCGTGTCCGAGGTGCCGAGTGCTGTAGCAGAAGAAAGTGTCAGAGTGCGGGATGAGGCAAGGTGGGGGAAGGAATTGTGGGAGTTGTCTCCATGCACCCACAGGTTTGAACCAGCTTGCGGAGGAGCTCATCCTCCTTGGTCGTCCAGCTGCGTCTGCTGCGCTTCATGCTTGATGGAGGTCGAGGTAGTTTGACATTTAAAGAATCGCTGTAGGGGATACGGAAAAATATAGGGGATACATCGGGCGACATGTACCACTCTTCCCTGCCACCGATGGGTGAAATGTAACTCAATCTTGTTGATAGGGGGATACGGTGCGGGCCAGAGCCATCACGGCGAACTTGAGACAAGTTTGACACTGCGACCAGACATTCAACTGCGAGAAGCTTCCACCGTATGGAAAAGGGCAGGCTGAGAAAGGGAGCCACCACAGTCTCGCAGCCGGTGGAACATACCCGTCCTGCTCCTGTCTGAGTCTCACAATCGCGACTTCTTGAATCCTCGCTAGTCCGCAAATCCATGAGGTGATGGTTCGCCCATCGATATCTCGGGGTGGAAATGGCCGGTAGTTGTGAGTTCCAGAATTGTGCCCCGACCCTTCTCGCTCGACATGAACGAGCACTCTCCAATCCCCTCATCACATTTTTGAAAGCGAGATAGCTGCTGGAGTCGATTGCCGAAGGAGTATCCGTCCCGGCAAAATAGGAATGCGTGCATACCTCTTTAATTCTCACCGACAGAAGCCACCTTATTGAGACATCGCAGAGTCAATATATCGACCTTGGGTCTGAGTTGTGAACCAGCGTGTGAACAGGGTCCCTGTCAACCGGCATAAGATTCAATGGTGCGGAAACTATCGTATCATTTCAACTTCAATTCATCGGCAACCAGCTGTGAGGCTGTATAGTGGCGTCCAAAACCACCTAGGTCTCGTTGATACATGTAAGTCTGTGCTTTGGTAAAGTAAAAATCATAGGCTCCGGCCGTTGCTGGGTGGGTACCAGCCCCAACAGCAGAAACCAATATGACCAAAAAAACGACAGCAGTCGGATTTGAACCGACGCCTCCGAAGAGAATAGATTTCTAGTCTATCGCCTTAGACCACTCGGCCATACTGTCTTGGATGCGAGTTTGGCTCAAAACTGTGCTTCAGGAGCCAAAATTAATGCAGCAGCCCCTTTTCAGCTCATCCTTGACTTGGACTAACCACTTGATCATCGGAAATATGGAAAATCGACCAAGCCTTATAGCATGAGTGTTGGCGTATAAGCTATAATACTCATCAACACGCCCACCCCCCCCTTTCAAGCAAGACTCTGTATTGACAGATGTCTCAGGGCTGTCCGTATTCATTGACCAATGTGCTCTCTGTCTTAGGTGACAGGCTTGGCGTAATCGTATCGCTTAACAATATACCTCCAATAATCTCGTCTGTATACGTAGTCTAGTCCCCATCGGTGAGACATATTGCTGTGTGTGGTACAAATGAATCGTTATCACAGGTCTGTCTTCACGCCTGTTGTGATTACCAAGTCATCTCCGACCGTCGACCTGCTCACGCTCAGTTCCACTACATCGTCTGTCTGCCATGCTTCAAGACACTGCCAACCTGACTTTGTCTATTCGTTAGACTGTGTTCTCACATTCTAACACGACCAGTAGTTCAATTACCCGTTTGCTACCTTTGCTGTTCCCATACGGGAGCTATTGCCCGACGACTTAGTCTTTCCACAATAGTGACTTGCGTCTCCAGGCATGGGATAACGTTCTCCCCATTATACGAGGCTACTCGTCACTCGTCCCTAGCTTCTTGGTCTACTGCTGTTGTCGAAAATCCTGTGTGACAACTCATTTTTCTGCTTTGGAAGTTAATGTGCCGGGATGGCCCCGAAGAAGAGCTGTCACTCTCCATCGCCTAATATCTTGAAAGCAGCCCGAAGAGTTTCCCTCGGGGCTACAGGCATTCGTTGAGATCACTCGGGACCAGACTAAATGCTTCATATAGCCTGACAACCACGGGAGATAAATACCACTGTTGAGTTTCACCCGTCCAGATCCAGCAGGCACCGTTCAACATGCATGTGCCCCTCCGGTGCAGACGTTCTCCTGACTCAGAGTTCCAATTTTGGGGCAAGTCTCTCGACGTCGCCACTTTTTTGCAGCTAGCTCTGCGCCTCCTGAACCATCTCCTCTAGTCGGTCAAGCGCAACGGGTCCTCCAGATGCCCTTAATTGCCCAAATTCCTCGCATTGCACTATCCGACATCACTGCTCGCACATCCAGAAATTTGAGGCGGGCTTCAAGATATCCGATCAGCCTCAAAGGGGGCGGCAGGCGCACCAACAACTGCTTGAAGCGTGGCTGTGTCCGATCGGCTGGGTATGCTGGATGTGACCAAAAACACCGGCGCACCAACTTGGTGCGGTGCGTCTTTCATGTACGGCGAATATCTTTACATTGTCGTCTAATCTCAATTTATTTCGCTCAGGAACAGTGGTAAAACATTACTCCGGCATTTCTTCAGGCATTACCCACCGCCCAGACTTTCGATATTGAAAGGAAGGGGAGGAATATCTTCCCACAGGTCCAACGAGCTAGACCCTTGGTTCTGTTTCGGTTTTTTCCTATACTGTTGGCATTAGTGTATGACGTGGTTTTGTTCTTCTACTTTGTCCTGTGTCTGTGCCTGGGTTTAATTATGTTGAGGTTGGTAGGGTTGTGACCTGGCTTTGGATAGCGAAGAATGCAGATGATAACAAATCCAACGATGGTGGTTGAAGTGAAGGACATGAGAGTATTTTGATCCACCAAACCACATGTCTACAGTAGTGCGCAAGTACTACCAGCAACCGTCAAATCACTTGCAGAATATTCTATTCAATCGCATATTCAAAGTGACGAATTTTCATCGCACCCACTGTCCCCATGTCACCACACACTCCTATGAGCCCAGCATTCTACCCTCAACCGGCCTCCTCAACACAGATTCTGCATGATACCAGGCTGAATGGCCTCCAGCCTCCTGCAGAGCGCATCCCACACGTATGTGGCCCGCCGCTCGTCGGCCGCGATGGGGGCATAGGCCTGCACGGCGCCGGCGCGCATGTACCGTCCGTGGGTTTCGCGCCCGGCGGCGGCCGTCTGGACCACCAGCCGGGCCCCCTCCTCGGCGGTGCGGGCGGTGATCGCCTCGAAGATCTTGAAGAGCACCCTGGCCAGCCCGGTGGACTCGCTGATGATGCCGGTCTTGCAGAAACACGGGTCGAGGGCGTTGACCGCAATCGAGGAAGAGCGATCGCTCGTCGAGTCGACGAGGGCGGCTAGCTTGATCATCGCGTAAAGTTGCAGTAACTTGGAGAGGTTGTACCTAATGCAGCATATTCCATAAGCAATGGGTCCTGTGGCATGTAGGACGGGTATACTGACTGGTTCATAAAGTTCACGTGGGATTCCTCCCGAAACCAGGTGAAGATATCCTCCCCGTGCTGCGCGGGGTACTCGGCGATGTCGTAGAGCGCGGAGGCGACGAAGGTGATCACCGGCGTGACGCCATAGGTTCGAGCTGTCGCCTGCATTTTCGGGATCATCTGGACCGTCAGCAGGAAGGTGCCGATGTTGTTGACGGCCAGGGTGCGCTCGGTGTCGTAGACGACTTTGAACTTGTTGGCGTGGATCCCGGCGTTGTTGATCAGGACGTCAACGCGCGGGAGTGAGCGAGCGGCCCATTCTGCGAACCGCTTGATCGAGGCCGGGGACTCCAGGTCGAGTTCTCGGACGTCGATGAGGTTGGTCTTACAGTTCAGCTGGGCCTCGATCTCGCGTTGGGCCTGCTCGCCTCGGGACCGACTGCGGCACGCGAAGATGATCTTCTCGGCCCCGAGACGAATGAGGTGCTTCACGGTTTCTCGTCCTAAGCCTCCATTGGCGCCGGTCACGATGATAGTCTTGTTGGTGAAGGAGGCGGATGGCTGGGGGATTCGGAGAAGGAATTGGGTATAGAAGAAGTCGCTGAGAGTCGGCATCGTGCGATTTCGAGTCTATGCGACTATGAGACTATGGCTGTCGAGTGAACTGTGGAAAGTGACGCTGAATTGATGGAATAAGGCTCTTCCTCATGCATGTGATCGGCGATCGGCGTTCCGCTATATATCTTCGTCTTTTGCTATTCTTCACGGTGGCATACATTCTCGGGGTTAAGTCCAGACAGGCCGGATATAACAAGTCCGTGGAGATCAGCAGAGTGCAGCCTCAGGTCTCAGGCACCAATTGCACGTGAGGCTCGTGATCGGTCAAGTCCGCGGATTTAAGGCTGTACTCCGCAGCTTACTTTGCATCATTCATCATCATCCTTCTTGGTTTCATCATCAGAGGGCTTCGTTCTAGATGCAGTCTCCCGTCCTACCCGTGTCACAAAGACGACGCGCTCGCATCCCTCTATCGTGTGACCCCTGCCGCACGCGAAAGTGTGTAGATCACATCAATGCTCTGTATGATCCGAGGCAATGGCTCCATTGCTGACCTAGATAGAATCAAATGCAACCGGGAATACCCTTGCCAGAACTGTATCACTCGTGACGAGCAGTCATCATGTCACTTCAGAGGGGCCACGATTGACTCCCTTTCGAATGCTCGGCGTGAGAGTCAGCTCGATCCCATGCGCCAGCGGATCGACCAGTTGGAAAATATGGTGAAGAGGCTCATTGCCCACCAGGCGCCCGAGAGCCCTAAGCCTGGCGACCTGGTCGTGTCCGCTACAAAAGATGTAGCCTCTGCGGGAAAGGTCGTGCTCGATGGCGCCCATTCAGTCTACCAAGGTGGCGATGATTGGTATGATGTGTTAGAGGAGGTATCTCGTCCTGTTCCTGATTCCAAGGCCACCTCGACTATCTTCTATCACCTGCAGATTTGCTGTCATTCAAGCTCAGCTGATGATTTTCAGATCAACCAACTCAAAAACACCTGGACCCAGGCCCAAGACAACCGAGTGGGCCATCAGACTCCACCCACGCAGTCGCAACTAGCCGATGGATCGAGCCTTCTGTTCGGTCAAGTGAAGCCCATAGATCGAATCGAGATCCTGGCCACTCTCCCACCCAAGCGCGAATTGGACAATCTGGTGACTACTTTCTTCGATCGCCCAACCTTCCCAATTGCCGTTCCTCGTACGTGTCAGCCACAGCTCACCTGGTCCGCGAATCTGATACATGTCTTAGCCATCATCCACGAGCCGACCTTCATGCGGGAGGTAAGAGCACACGACCCGTATTGATCGTATCCTAGGGTAACCCTAGCGCAGTATCACGAGCATTGCAAGGACCCATCCCACGCGAACTTCATCTGGCTGGGACTCTTATTCTCCATTCTTGGTATCGTCATGCTAGCCTATCACCAACACGGCGAGCCACCAGAGTATGAAGGGCGCTCGGAGTCTCTCTTCCAAATGTACCGCATCCGCACGGCGCAGTGTCTCCTGAGCGGCGACATCGCCAAATGCCTCCCTTACACCGTGGAGACCCTGCGCTTCAACGCCACCGCCGAGCTCAACCGCAAGGACGACAACCGCCGCGGCCTCTGGATCATGACCGGCGTGCTAGTCCGCACGGCCATCAACATGGGCTATCACCGAGACCCCGCGCACTCGTCACCCCCAATCCCCCCCTTGCAAGCAGAGTATCGTCGCCGCATCTGGCTCGCCGTGATCAGCATGGACAACATGACCTCGTTCGGCGCGGGCCTCCCTCGCATGCTGTCCGCCATATACTCCGACACGAGGGAGCCACGCAACCTGCACGACTGGGAGCTGCCCGCGGATGATGCCACCGCTGCCAGCCTCCCACCTTCTCGACCCTTGACCGAATCCACCGCGGTGACCTACCTGATCGTCAAGGGCCGCCTGTGCCACGCCCTCGGCCGCGTCGCAGACCTCACGTGCAACCCTACCCCCAGCACCTACGCGGATGTCCTCGCCACCGACCGCATGCTGTCCGCGGCCTACGACAGCTTCCCTCCACACATGCAGCCACCGGCCCCGCCGCAGCCCCCGGAGCAGCTCCGCCTTTTCCACGCCCAGATCGGACTCCGGACCATCTACCACCGGGCGATGTGCACCCTGCACCGCCGGTTCCTGGCCCAGGCCAAGACGAACCCGCAGTACCGATTCTCGCGGGATCGGTGCCTCGCCTCCGCCCGCGCGCTGCTGGCCACCCAGCGCGATCTGTCCGAGCAGTGGTACCGGTTCGCGCACACGCGCCAGATCCTCAGCTTTGCGGCGATGGTGGTCTTCCTCGAGCTGGAGCTGATGCGCCAGTTCCCCGCTGCGGAGGACGCGGTGGAGCAGGCGGATCTACAGCAGGATCTGGAGACGTCGGTGGCGCTGTGGGGGGTGTATCGGGAGACCTGCGACGAGGCCGGGAGGCAGTGGCAGCTCCTCGCTGGGATGCTGGAGGGTGTTCGTATATGCTCTGGTGCGAAAGATGGTGGTGGCGGTGGTGGTGTTGCGGCGGCGTCGGCCGATCATGCATCTGGCCTGGGGCTGTGGGGCCCTCCGTCCCAGATGCCGGGCGTCGATGGTTTCACTTTCGAGAAGGAATTGGCCTCCGTCGAAATTGATTGGGTATGTGTTCTTCGTCGCTGGCGGTGAGATTATGTGCTAACCGGTTTTAGGCTGCATGGGACTCTTACATTGAAGATGCTGGTTTTGCATCGGGACCAATCTACTAATCCATGGTTCTGTATACCGTAACCTGAGAGAACGTAGACCTACAGCACACTATATACACGCACAGATCCATCCTGATACACATTCAAACTCGTTTCCGTTATTCACCCTGCACCTGGCACTGCACTCTACCAGACCCCCCGATTCCACACTCCTCTGCAATGCAATAAGGGGAATCTAACTTCTATGATCTAACAACGATACAAAAATCTCAAATAGCACAAGAATGGAGGAAGCGACCATAAACAAGTATATATAACATCATTATCAACATACTAAGCCCGGGTTCAGTTTAGAGACAGGAGGAGTCATCACATCGTGGCACATAAGCCGAAAGCTGCTGCGTGCCGCCCCGGCAGGGTCGAAAAGAATCCCATTTCAGTTTTTGGGCTTTTTTTTTCGCTTTTTCGTTTTTCATTCCGGTACGGCCCAGGTATAGACGACCTTATCGTCGCCGTCCTCTCGTTTGCGACTCTCCGGTACGGCCCAGGTGTAGACGACCTTGTCGTCGCCGTCCTCTCGTTTGCGACTCCTCGCCGGTATGGCCCAGGTGTAAGCGACCCTATCGTCGCCGTCGGCTACTTCGCGGCTGGAGGAGTCTACATGAGATTATGGATGTTAGTCTACCGGTAGATGACAAGCCAACTGAGCAACTAACCTCCGACGAGTGGTGCAGCGTTGGTGAGGATCAACGCGGCCAGGCCGTAGTATAGCACCGTGGTAAGATGCATGATGAGTGTAGTAGTTTGCAAATGGAGGAATTGCAGGTCGATTAGGTTCGTTCCTCGAAATTCGTTCCCTTATACCAAAACACGAGAATCGGGTAGGAAAGGTTCAATTAAGAAGTTGCCAGCAAAACCACCCCCACCGAAATGAAACGCTTGTATTGACTTTCGTAACGGTCGCTAAGAGACACTGACAGGTGACAGAAGAGAAAGGACAGGCAAAAGATTGTCGAAACAGCGGAATCCGGCGGATCACAGCATGGGATTAAACATTCTTCTCCAAAAAAAAGAGGGGTGGGGAGGGTTGGAAGCTGACGGGCGGAGAAAAAGAATCAATGGAAACGGGGAAAAATGCCTTAGTTAAGGTGGTTGAATGGCCGAGAAACGTAACAGCGAACAGTTCGTTCATTTCATTTATTCATTCAAGAAAGTTAAGTAGATAAGAAAACGAACATTGAGAGGAACCAAGGGCAATGAACCAGTTTACCCATCAACCTGGGCGGGCGACGACCCTGCAAAAGGTTTCTGCTGCCGGTTGGAGAAACACGAGGGAAAAGCGAACTGACAGGGCGTCCACCGGCCACAATACCTACGTACATGGCGTCATGGTGTTTCCCTTGGCAAGGTATGTAATCCAATTTTGGGTTCTTTTTTGTCTGAATTCCGACCGGGAGTGGAAAGGGTTTCCTCCGCCCCCAATCGCCTTCTGCTGCCTTGCAGTCATTTCAATTCCTTCTTATGTCTGTCTGGGCCGAGCGCGGCATGAGGGTTGGTGGGGCGGGCTACGAAGACACATCCGTTCAGTAAAGTCGGTATGTATGGATGTATGGACGTGTTTTCATTTCTTTTCCTTTTTTTTTTTTATTATTTCTATTTCTATTTTTTTTTTTTTGATTTTGTTTGCTTGTTTTGTTGATCCATTCGCTCTCTGACCGAGATAGAATACAGGTTCTTTGTAGAGTAATCCGATTATCCCGTCTTGTCAACTCAGCCACCGTTTGAGGAGGGAAAGGATAAGAACAGAAGAAATCAAGGTGGTGGCGCGGGTATTATTCTCACTGTATGTAGAAGGAAGGAGGAGGAACTACTGGCAATCTTACCGCAGAACAAGGATCTCTCGGTCTAGGATTGTTTATGCACCTCTGGCCCTGCATCTACCGGCACGCCGGAGTCGCTCTTAACCGTATGATAGGAGGGATACGAGAAGGAAGAAGTGGAAGAAAGTCTCAATTTTATATTTTGTGAAGTTCTTCCCCAACATTTACTTTCTTTCTCTTCCATCGCGCGGGGTGAGTTGGCCATCATGTCGTTCGAACTCCCCTCCAAACCCCACGAGCCCTTGATGCGCGGGGAAGAGGACTATCACGATGAGCCCGCACCGCCCCGACACCGCAACGCAAACCCGCGATCAACCTTCATCCGGTGCGGCTGGATGCTTCTTGGACTTCTGGTTGCTGCGGTGGTTTTCGGCCTCGGGGTTTCCATTGGGAAGGGTATTCCGACCAGGAAGCGCGAGGGACTGTTGAGTACGATTCCCCCCACCTTTTCATAGCAAAATAATTGACCCTAACACTGTGTTCCCTTGACGAACGACTGTAGTCCCCGATGGCGAGATCCAGATCCGCATGGAATACAACAGCACCTTCTCGCAGCATCCTTCGCCTGAGACCGACGCGGCGTGGGCCTCCCTCTTTCCCAAGGGAGTCGGTTTCGTCAAACACCCAACCCTGGCGCCCGAGCTGTCCGGGTTGGTCGTCTTCCACGCGCTGCACTGTCTCAACGCCCTGCGCGAGGTCTACTACGCCGCCGTAGACGGGCAGCTCCCCCATGTGGCGGACGAACACGACCACATGAAGGACCCGCACCACGTCCGGCACTGCTTCGACTACTTGCGCCAGAGCCTGATGTGCGCGGCTGACACGAACCTCGAGCCCGTTGACAAGGAGCTCCAAGGCGTGACGGGATGGGGGTATAGTCGGACGTGCCGGGACTACGAGAGCGTCAAGGCGTGGGCGGAGGCACACTGGTCGAACGATCCTTCCTAGCATTCTCTGCAGTGTATACAGACCACGAGTTTCTTTATTCTATTCAACCTATAATGGATCATGATCTTTACAAGTCCAAGCCATCTGCCATATACATAGAGTGAAGTCATCAGTCTAAGCGCCACCCAGAACCCCGGGCTCCCACGCATCCACCGCTCGTGCATCATTCCACGCCCGCAGTCGCTCCCAATCGATGCAGACATGATTCCCCTTGGCTTCGACCGTCAATTCCTTCTGCTTGCCCTCCGGACCGGTCTGAATCCACCGGAACCCACTCAGCGTCACGTCCGCCCGACACAGACTCGCCTCCCGGAGCAACTCGACACAGTGGTCGACGTGCGCCTCCTCTTCCACCAGCACCGCCGCCGGGGCGTCCGCCAGATAATGGTCGCGGTAGATCCAGTGGCGGATGCGCTTGAGGCAGTGGAGCTCGTGGAACACCCCCAGCTGGCCGACGAACCCCCCAGGACCTTCGCCTGCGGGCCCGACGATCGGGAGCGAGGTGACGTTGTAGAAGGCGAGGTCCTCCTCGGTGACGCGGATGTTGTTCTTCTCAAACAGCATGTGCCAGGCGGCCTCGAGCTCCGGCCGCGGTTTGCCGGCGAAGGGGTTGTCGTGGAGGCGGACGCGCCACGGGCGGGTTTCGTACCCTACGGCGTTGGCGGTGCGGAGGGACGGGAAGATGGCGTTGTTAGGGGTGGTGATGAGTCTGTCGAGGGCGAGCGGGTTATGGGTCAGGAGGAGGAGGTAGAGGGGGATGAGCAGCGTGTATGCGACCGTGATAATGCTGTAGTGTATCCGCAGCTGGGTGCGCTGGCGCGGGCTGGGGGTCGCGCGTTTCCCCGCGGTCTCGGACAGGGTCTCATGGTCGTTGAGGTCTTCTCCCTCCTCCGCGGTTGGAGCGAGTTGATACCGTTGTTCGTCCTTCCTCATGGTGGATGCTCATTGCAATGCATGGGGAAAGAGCAAGCTCCCTCTATTCACTGGGCCCCCATGGCCATGAGCACAGAGCCCCCCGCGGTGTGGATGACATAGCCGGGGGGGCACTGGTGAAGAGACAAGAACAACCACCACACCACACCACACCACGCCACTTTTCTCACATGCAAGGGTATCGGTCTCGTATTGATGCGGTAAGGCTGTGGAAACGACATCCCCAGCCTTAGGCAGCAGGTTTTTTTTTTTTTTTTTTTTTTTTTTTTTTTTTTTTTTTTTTTTTAGGATATTTTGGTGGTACAGGCGTTGGGCGGGGTCCCATCAGCCACTTTTAATTAACTTTATTATATTATAGTGCACTAAGAATGAGCTGAACGATTCAATCACTCTACTAATCCGACTGCGCACCGATCTCCACATTCTTCAGCAGGGATTGTCAGTGCCACCTGGCCGGGGTGGTCGATGGGCTATGCCGCTTTGATCGGGAGGTGGGGTATTCTGGAAAGGAACACATCATTTCGGCGTCTGAACAAGTCGCTAACAACCCCAGAATACACAGTTCACCGGTCAATTTATCGCTGATGTCGCATTACTGGTAACTGCCATGTACTCCTAGCAGGAAGTACCTCGTAGCGAGGCCTTGGACGGCCCGCCAAGATTCCACTCGTGCTGCTGCAAGGAACTGATTCTCGTATCCCGGCTCTAGCGTGGGTCGAATGTGGTCAACCCGACCAGCACATGGCGGGCCACGAGATGTTTTTCTAGCAACATCAAGACCCCAATCCGGCTGTGCGTAATCTCCACGGCATACGTGGGCAGAATGGGCGGTGCAACTCCCCGGAAGCGCGGAGGTAATCGGCCATCCATCAATGGCATCGCAAATGCCATTGACTGACATAGTATATGATCCCTGTCACCTCGTGGACCACCACGACGCCGTCGGTGACTTGGTCTCCACTCCATGGACAGCGCCATCGACTCAATCGATTGACCCCGTTCATCGTCTTGCATACGGCGTGACACTGTCGTCACACTGACTAACTATACAGCAACCATGCCGTCCCGTCCGACCTCGGATGCAAATTTTGCCGACCTCGGCCGGTCCATCGCGTCCAACCTCGACCGCATCACCCAGATCTATACCGACCTCCAGCAACCGCTACCCTCCTACGAGATCGACTCGCCCCTCGACTTTCCGGTCGAGGTGCAGCAGCTCCGACAGAAAGTGCTAGATGCCACTCTCCAATTGCAGCAGCTGTTACTAGGCCCCAAGGAGAGTTTATTTTTGTGGGCAGTGAGTCTTGCCTCCCATCCAGTACTTCGGCAACGGATTCTATATCCACAAGCGGTCCCCCTTCATGTGACTAACCTCAGCCCTCCCTGCCTCCTGCCTCGAAAGAGGAACAATATAGGCACCATCCGCGCGGTCTCCGACTTCGATCTCGCTCGTTCCTTCCCCGTCGGCGAGACGGCCACGTTCGCCGAGATCGCGACCACCGCTGGACTCCCGGAGCAGAAAGTTCGTCGGATCATCCGCCATGCTGCGACCGAGGGGATCTTCCGCGAGGAGCCGCAGGGGGTCGTGAGGCACACGGCCGCGTCGCGGATGCTGGCGGAGGACCAGGTGATGCGCGATTACATCGACGTTCACTATACAGAGATCCTTCCCGCGATGAAAGAGGTCTGCATAGCATTCCCCCCTGCACGGCCCCTTCGGATCTGTTCTGTATTAAGTTCGGACCTCTGACATGACAATTCTCACCTCACCGTGAACCAGACCCCAACCGCCTTGCGCAACTGGCCCAACGCCACCGATCCCGCCCAAACGGGCTTCTCGCTCTCGCAGCCCCCGACCCATCCCACCTTCTTCCAATACCTGACCACCCAGCCCGACCGCGCGCGGGTCTTTGCCTCGGCCATGTCGACCTACAGCACCGGGCCCGAGAATGACGTGAGCCACCTCCGCGACGGTTACGACTGGGCGTCCATATGCGGCGGAGGGGGCGGCGGAGGGGGCGTAGTGGTCGACGTCGGAGGTTCGACGGGGTACGTTTCGCAGGCTCTCGCGCAGGCATACCCGGCCCTACGTTTCGTCGTTCAGGACACGGCGCCCACCATCGCCCAGGCGCCCACCGTGGCCGCCGCTGCTCCAGCCGGGGAACACAGTCGGGTGCAGTTCATGGCGCACGACTTCTTCGCCGACCAGCCCGTCCACGGGGCGGACGTGTACCTGCTGCGCATGGTGCTGCATGATTTCGGGGACGCGGACTGCGTGCGCATCCTGCGCGCGCTGGTGCCCGCGCTGCGGGACGGGGGCCGGGTGGTGCTGAATGAGTTCTGCTTGCCTGAGCCCGGGTCGGTGGGGTTGTTGGAGGAGAAGCATATTCGGTAAGTATGTTTTGGGCCCCTCTCTCTAGCGCAGATCTATCTCTCGCGGCGACTTGTTGCCGTCGGTCGCTGAGCAAGGATGCCCCAACCTCGTCTTAACGCCGATCCACTGATGATGATCTCTCCCAGAACAATGGACATGAACATGCTCAGCCTGTTCAATTCCCGTGAACGTGATGCCGCAGACTGGCGCGCGCTGTTCGCGCAGGCCGACCCCCGCTTCCGGTGGCGGGGCGTCACCAAACCGGCGGGCTCGAATCTCTCCGTCATTCAGGTGTCGTGGTCGTCCCCAAGTGTCGAGTGAGGCGCGTGGAGTGGATCTTGGGTGTGAAGATTATTCCGATTTCGGTGAATGACTAGTTGCGTGGGTGGGGGATGTTTCCACTTCTCTTCACATCGTGGTGGTGGGGGCCGGAAAAGCCGATTGTAACGGTTTCGTGTCTTGGCTTATTTTTTTTTTTTTCTTTTTTTTTTTGTGTGTATCGAACAGTTCCCTGCAGAGATAGGCTGTGTGAGATTCTTGGCATTCGTTTGTTTTGTCAGCGGAGGTGATGAAGAACGTAGAGAACACAGACGGTCAGACTTGGCTGTGTTGGTGCTGGGGAGTGCAATGACTGAGTGAGAAGGAAAGAAGGAATGCAATGGGCGGGCTGCGGCAGTCAGGTCGGTGATAACCGGGGATCAGATGATTTTCCCATCTGCAGTTAGGCTAGCTGTGTAAATCGTTGGCGGGCGGCGGGTCTGGTCTGGGCCAAGATTGAAATGCCATGGTTGTTGGGGAGAGTAAGCGGAGTGTGAGGGAAATCGATTATCGGGGATCATCTAGGGTGAGAACAGGCACGCAAGGACAATCTTACTCACATACTCCGTACTTTGTGCTCATAAAATCCTATGTACTGTACTCATGTAACAAGTCGATAATCAAGCAATACAGCAACGAGGCTGTGCAATTGCCCACGATTGTCCGAAGTTACGGACTCCACTCCTCTGCAGCGACTTCAGCCAAGGGAGGGAGGGGGAGCCCGAAAGGGGGCCTCGGAGAGGTTGAGGTAAACATCCCTCGTGCGCAGGGTAAGCCGGCCCAGCCAATCGAGTGGCAGGATTCCCCAGGCTAAAAGATGACCGCATGGCCACATGCATGGTGTGTTGTGCTCCCCAGCCTCTTGCTAGATCCTGGCGGGAGGCCGGGCACGTTCTGTCTGATTTGTTTCCTGAGCCGCGAGTCGAGGGGTGCTGTACTGCTGACTGCAACTTCCAGACGGTCCTAAGATTTGACGGTCAGCGTAGGAACGAAAAGTCAGGAATCAACCTTAAAGTCAGTTCCGCTTGGATCCATAGGATGGATGTCGAGTAGACTAATCAAGAGGCTGTGATCAACCACTGGCACTGCATCAACTACTGGCTCATCAGCCCTAACTTGGACCACCGTGTAGGTTGCAGTGGAAGGGAAAGCGGGAAGGGTTGCGGGCCGGGAGGGGAGGAGGGGCCAAATAGTCAGAGCGCTGGCCCCCAAATAACTCCCAGATACGGAGATACGGAGTATTCAGTAACTGCTCAGTGCGATTCTCTCACTCATAGTCTAGGCATTGTGATCGCAATCCACGACAGGGTGACCAGCCCATGGTCTGGTTCTATCCCGTGTGTGGGATGCAGGCAGGCATGTAAGCACCTAAGCAAGGGGACTAAATATTGCTTTGTCCGAGGACCAACAACTATTCGATCGGACCTCCATGCTGACTCGCTCACTGGCTTACTGTCCCACGCTTATCCGACCGATAAACCCTGCCTGCCTGCGATTGGCACCCCAGCCAAACAAACATGCACAAGCGCATACCTAGCATGCTGACACTTGACCGGAGGGGGGAAGGGGAAAGAGCAAGGCGGAGGGGGAGGGATAGCGCTCGTCCTAGCCTCTTCGTGACTTGACAAGCAAGGTAGGGATTAGCAGCGAGCATCATGTATTTGCGCGACATTCCCCTCAATCCCCTCTTCCCTTTTCCTCAAAGCTGGTCTCTTGCGTTGTCGGTCTGTACGCTGGCAACCCGGATTGCACTGCCGCCCGCATGGGCTACAACAAGGGGGAGATGATAGCCTTAGGCTTCATCTTGATGTTTGTACCCGCCATCTTCGTGGGGTTACGTGTCTGGGCCCGGCGCCTCTGTGGCGCTCACATGGGCTCGGACGACTACACTATCTTCGCCGCCTTGGTAGGATTCGAGCACCATTCCCTCGGTCGCAAACCTGGGTACTGACCTCACCGTAGTTATTCTGCACAGCCGTCTGTATCTGTCAACTGATTGGAGCCATCGATGGACAACTGGGCCAAACCCAGGCGACCTATCCCAATGGGGAGCCCATCCTGGACGACCCACGGTTTCTAACCTACGAACGGGTGCGTATATGCCTCCACCTCGCTCGAGAAGCCGAAAGAGTTGAGAAAAAGTAAGCCACTCTAACCCGCACGGACAGGCCAAATTCGCGCTGCACATGTTATCCGTGATGGGAGTGGGGCTCAGTAAAGCGTCGGTGATCCTGCTGTATATGCGCATCTTCCACACGCGAACGTTCCGGCGGGTGTGCCAGCTGTTTCTAGGGCTGGTCGTTGCGTGGACGGCGGTGATGTTCTTCGTGTGCCTGTTCCAGTGCTACCCGGTGACGGCGCTGGTGGAGGGGTTCTACGGCAACAAGTGCATCAACACGATGGTCTTCTACAACGGGCTGAGCGGGTCGGACGTGGTGCTGGACGTGTGCGTGCTGCTGCTGCCCATCCCGATGGTGCTGCGCGTCAAGCTGGAGGTGCGGCAGAAGGCGGCGGTGCTGGGGATGTTCCTGCTGGGCGCGCTGGCCGTCGCCTCCAGCATCGCCCGCCTGGCCGCCTTCATCGAGTGCGAGCGCGTCCTCCTCATCCACTACAACAACGAGACCTACTACACCTCCGGCGTCTTCATCTGGACCGTCGTCGAGCTAGCCCTCGCCATCATCAGCGCCTGTCTACCCACCCTGCGTCCACTCTTCTTCTACCGGAGCCGGGGCGGCCTCCCCACCGGCGACACCTTCAAGCTGGCCCACGAGTATCACGATCACATCCCCTCGCGCCAGGCACGGTACGGTCGCCCCACGGACACGATCGACGAGCTGGAAGCCGCTGTGCCGTGTGACCGGACTGGGCCCCCGGCCAGCGTGCAGATTCAGATCCAGCGCACCTCCTCCCACGAGCGTCCGCACCCGACCGATGGAGTCATCGTCGTCGAGCACAGCACGACCTGGACGGACGGCGAGGCTTTCAACACCGATATTGCCATTGCCAAGTGACGGTCTCGTGGTTCTTCTGATGCGTTGTATGCTGGTATGAGTAATCAGATCATGTTGTTCTCTCCATAGTCTCTGCCCTAGTTTCCTAGTTCATAGTGAATCTGTACATTGCCCTTGATGGGACGTGTATTGACCGCCAACTGCCCTGCGTCTATGCGCGGGTCGAGTTAAGGGTTCTTCGCCATTGCTAAATTTACAATACTTGCTGTGTGTGTCTGGAGCTTAGAGATGGTCATGTCCCGAGTTGTTTTGATCGCATGTTCGAGTGCAGGTTATCTTCATCTGGGCTCTTCCCTGAGACCTATCACATACTTGAGCCCTCAGCCTGCCCAATCCACTAGAGCTCCTCTAGGAAATGGACATGATCCCATTGAGCGCTCCATCTCGAAACATTCCTCCACCCTGCCCGCTATTAGCTTAAACCTGTGCCCCATGCACGAATGCCGCACAAGGCCCCAGACCCACCATCAGGGATAGGCAGAAAGAAAAAAGAAATAAGCCTGGGGTCAAAAAAGAATGCACCTCGATTACTGAACACGAGTCCCCATTCAAACTAGTGGCTCATACCACCAAGGGTTTCCACGTGTTCCTGTGGCTTCTGGAACTAGTTGAGAATCAACACGCCCCGTTCCTGGTTCGTATGATCACAATCCCAGTGAGCACCCCACTAGGAGTCTCTAGTCCACTGCTAGTCAACTCGCACTCCCGACAAATGATTCCCCAGCATTGACCCCCCACTCCCCGCTCAGTCAATTTCAAGTCGGTCTTCAGTACCATTGAAAACCAGAAGAATGTCTGCAGTGGCTTGAAACGCCACCGCATGGGCGCTCCATTTTTGACGGCGCGCCGGGCGTGCTACAAAACCCTGCCGCGCACGAGGCGGCCATGTGTCTCGTCCGGTTTACCCGGTAGCTGCAGCAGGTAGCCAGCTGGCGCATTGCAACCGCTTCAGATTCCACAAACGGGCTATCTTCCTCGTAATCATATCGACAAAGAAAATAAGCTGCTAGCCTCTCCAGCAGAACAGTCAATGTAGCGCACCGTGACTGGTCCACCCCCGCGAAGCACCGGACCGGAAGTCCAAACCGAGGGTTGACGATGCAAATTGACAATCTCCCCCACCGCCGTCGGGGTCGGAGTGGGATGAAAGGACCGAAGGCTAAGCATCCACGTGCGCCTTTTCGTGGCTTGGTTGAAAGCATCGAATCGGCAGCCTGGCTCAGCTTCCGTGCAGACCAAGGGGAAGTCTACGACTACAACATCCAGTTGGCCTTTGACGGTGTGGGGCCCAATCTACGCACATGCTGCTCCTTCTCCCCGCCCCGCTTGATGGAACGGGATGAGCCCTTGCTCGGTCCCAGAAGTATATTAGATGCGGGATGGCATGGTGCTGGGTCGTGTTTGCTGAATCTAACCTTTTCTATAGTGCATGCCCCTTGGTCCCCTTCATTGTTACCCTGTGAGTGGTGTCGCGGTGTGAAACACTGAGATGAGGGTTCCATCAGCATTGGGGCTTGCTGCCTTGACCGGCCCGGCCGTGGCCGAGGCGTGGACGAAGTACACCGCGTTTGAGACGTGCTTGCAGCCACTGCTCTCGTCCCAGGCCACGATCCTCAATGCCTCGTCGACGGTCGTCGCCCCTCGATGGACGGAGTACGGCGAGCCCGTGACGAACCACGTCGTCAACGTGGCGACAGAAGCGGACGTGCAAGCCACTGTACCCTCCCCCATCCCGTATCCCCCAGTATCGGACTGACCCCACACCACAAACACAGGTCTTCTGCGCCAACGCCCACGACATCCCCTTCCTCGCCCAAGCCGGCGGCAACGCCTGGAGCACCACCTGGACCCTGACCAACACGACCACCCCCTCCATCCTCATCAACCTCCGCGCCCTCAACGCCATCACCTTCTCCCCAACTCGCACAACCGTCACCGTGCAAGGCGGCACCCTGACCTCCGAGCTCCTGGCCGCCGCCTACGCCCACGACGCACAGGTCGTGACCGCGAACTGCGACTGCGTCGGGGTGATGGGCGCCCTGCTCGGGGGCGGGTACAGCCGCATGATGGGGGAGAGGGGGTACATGATCGACAACGTTCTCTCACTAGACGTCGTGCTAGCAACCGGGACGCGGGTGACGGTGACGGCGCGCTCGCAGCCGGAGCTGTGGTGGGCGCTGCGCGGCGCCGGCGCCAACTTCGGCGTCGTCACCTCGGCGGTCTTCCGCTCCTACCCGACCCCACGAACTGAGAATCACGCCTGGCTGGGCAGCCTGGTCTTCAGCGAGGACAAGCTCGAAGCGTTGGTGGCGGCGATCAACGACCTCCCGCTGAGCCCCCAGATGGCCATCTTCCTCTACTTCGCCACCACCGGCGCCCCGGACTACACGCCGGCGATCATCGCGTTCCCGTTCTACCTGGCCCGCGCGGGGGCCAACACGACGACGACGACGACGACGGAGGAAGCCCGCGCCGCGTTCCGCGCGATCCTCGCGCTGGGCCCCCTCTCCGACACGACCGCCTGGACGCCCTACGACCGGGTCAACGCGGGCAGCGGCGCGTTCTGCGCCGCCGGCGGCCGCAAGGTCAGCCTGGGGTCCGCTGCGCGGACCCTCGACCCGGCCGCGTGGCGCGCGATCTGGACCTCGTTCACGCGCTGGGTGGCCGCGTCCGGCGGCGACCGGGTGGGCAACTCGACCGTCCTGATGGAGGCGTACAGTCTGGGGCGCGCGAGCGCCGTCGCCGCGGGCAGCTCGGCGTACGCGTGGCGCGCGTCCAGTCGCTTCAATACCGTCGCCATCGCCTGGTATCGGGATCCCGCGCTGGATGCGTCGGCGCGGCAGTGGGCGGGGGACGTGCGTGCGGTGTGGAGGGAGACGAGTGGGTTGAGTGGGAATTCGACGTGAGTTTGCCTCTTTCTTGGGATCTGCGATGGTTGGGTGGGGAGGGTGCGTGATGGGCGTGCTTGATGCAAGGTGAGCTGTGCTGACTGGGTTTTCCCTGCGGGTTAGGTATATCAATTTCGCGTTCGGGGATGAGAGTCTCGAGGATATTTATGGGGATAATGTGGAGAGGTTGCGGTTGTTGAAGAGGGTCTATGATCCCCAGAATCGATTTAATCAGTTCTTTCCACTGACGTAAAGGTGGGTGGGTAGGACATTCCTGTTCTGGTGTGGATTTAAGATGTATTGTACCGGATGCGTGCTCTGTACATGACTTGAGCGAATGCACGCGATGTCTTGAGTGAGGTCTGAGGACTACGAAGTAGATGGTGAGATCCATGCAGCGAGTCGACACCGGTCAGCATAGCTCGCACTGGGTCTCGGGGTTAGGAGTTTAGTGAAGGGCAGGCTAAACCCTAACAAGGTAACTTAGTCTATGCAGGGTCGGAGTCGGAGAGTGAGTGAGTGAGATGGTGCGATTGCATTGCTCACGCTCCACCCGGGGCTTCCGGCCGCGCTAGGAGGTGAGCTAGTCCTGGATTCCTTAGATAAAACAACAGTTTTGAGTCAAGTGCACTCAGACAGCAGACACGAGCGTGTTGGAATGTCAAGGATAAGCTAGGAATGTGGCGGGGTGATCAGGCATGCGGCTCAGACGAGCCAATCGATCACATCACGCATTTGCCTGGATTGGTAGAATTTCCTCTTAGTTTTCAATTAATTTTCGGAAAGAGTGATGAAGAATGGACTTGATTGACCCAGATTGAAATTATTTGGTACTGTCTAATCGTAAGACGACGGGGTAGGATCGTCATCCAGCGGCTACCCCGCTAACAGTTCACCCAGCCAGTTGACAGTGAACGAACCGGCTGACCAGGGAGGGATCTGGAGTTCTGGACTGTCTCCGTAATTGATCCACATCTCCACTCAGTTCCGGCCTGTCAGACCCATCTATCTTCCCATCTTCCATTCACTGGCGATCCAGACATTCCACTATTTAATTGTGTAACACAACAGCTTTAGTTACCCCGCCGAGGGGTAAGCCTCCCCTTCTCACCTCAACCACAACCACAAGCAAACGCAAATAACACCTTTATAATAGCCTTCTTCTCTCCTATCCTTCCTCATCCCTCCCTCCTCACTTCCTTCCTCCCACCACACCCCATCCATCGATCACAGTCAAAATGACAGACCTCAAAAACACCCTCGACCCCCTCCTCCTCAAACATGCCAGCATAGGATACATCGGGCGCGATTCCCCCTCCTTCTCCGAGACCACCCGCGTGTGGAACGTGGGCCGCAACAAGAGCTGCACCCCGCTCGCCGTCCTCCAGCCCCAATCCGCCCAAGACGTCGCCGCCCTCGTTCCTTTCCTCCACAACCAGGATCTCCCCTTCAGCGTCCGCACCGGCGGCCACAACATCGAAGGCAAATCCATCCAGAACGACACCCTCCTCATCGATCTCCGCGCCCTCGACTTCGTGCACATCGCTCCGGACCGCAAATTCGCCACCATCGGCGGTGGCATCCTGCAGGGGAAGCTCGGGGAGACGCTCTGGAAGGAAGGCCTGATTACCCCCACGGGCTCGATCCCGGATGTCGGGTACGTGGGCTGGAGTACCTACGGCGGGTACGGCCTTTTTGCGCCGCGCTGGGGGCTAGGGGTGGATCAGATCCTCGGGGCGAAGGTGGTCAAGGCGGACGGGACGGTCGTGGATACGGATGAGGACCCGGAATTGTTGAAGGGGATCAGGGGAGCGGGTGGCGTGCTTGGGGTTATTGTTGAGGTTCGCGTCAAGGTCTATGAGGCCAAGCAGGTGAGTTCCCCCTGTGATAGTTCAACATGGTTGTCGTGGGATGGTGAGTCGAGAGCAAAATAGGCTGACAAGCAACGATGGACAGCTTCTCTCCGGCGTCATCATGTTCGAATCCTCGGATATCAAGAAGACCTTCGTCGGGTTTAACGCCGCCTTCCAGGCCCTCCAGGACGACGAAGGCATCCCCGATGCCCTGGCCGTCCAGCAGATCGCCATCAACGCGCCCCCCGGCCGCCTGTTCGGGACCATCGTCGTCTGGACGGGCGACGACCTCGACGAAGGCAAGCGCTGGGCCGACCGGGTCGCCCAGCTCGGCATCGCCATCATGAACACCGTCGCCCCCACCGCCATCCCCGACTGGTTCCGGGGCAACGGCGCCATGGTCCCCACCAGCGTGTACGGCTCCAGCCGCACCGCCAACGTGCGCCAGATCACCCCAGAGCTGGCCGAAACCCTCGGCGCCAGCCTCGAGAAGATGCCCGCCGACCCGGCCACCATGCTCTCCGTGCACCAGCTGCGCGGCCCGTCCGCCACCCCCACCCGCGACTCGGTCTTTGCCGCGCGCGAACCACACCTCATGCTGGAGATCCTTGGGTGCGTGACGGCGGAGGACCTGCAGGAGGAGGCCGAGAAGTGGGCGTCCGACATGCTAGCCAGCGTGCACGGCACCCAGGCGCAGAACCTGCTTCCCGGTGCCTATGTGTCGCTACACTGCGAGGGTGCCCAGACGATCTGTGTCGAGGATCGGGTGAAAAAATTGTTCGGGGAGTTTGCCGACGAGGTGGTTGCGCTGAAGGAGAAACACGATCCGAAGAACTTGTTCGCTCACGCGGTTCCCAAGCTGAAGTAGGGGGTTCGTTTTCTGCATGATGAGATGTATTATGATAGCACGCATGGGACGTTAGCAGTTTGACGAATGTCTTTATTCCAATTCACTAGCATTGATTCTCCTATATTTGTTACGTCTGTTGGGATTTGTAGCTTGTAGATTACCACCTACGTGAACACGTTCAGCTTTGGTATGTTCGCTGCTCTCTTTTGTATGATTTGCACTAAAGATCGACTCGGGCTTATGATACTCACATACTTCACTCTGCAATGTCCCTGGCAATCTTCACTGTCTCTGAGAGCTCAATTATTATGACCAATAGTTACAGTCTCTGATACTCTTCATTCTCTTCCTACAGCAATTGCCGGGAGATATACACACGGTCCATGAACCGACAGACTTAAGAACCATACTTCACCCACGAGAAGCTTCAGAGAACCTCTATTAAACAGCTCTAGGAAGACCCATTGTATCCCAGTGTGAGAGGAAGAAAACGGTAAAAAAGGTCCAGTGCAGATGATACATAGTACTCCGTACCAGCAGCCCAGACGCGGGGAGAGTGCATGACGTCACTGCGGCTTCGGCTTCGGCTTCCGATTCTGCTTATGTCAGCGCGCTTCTGCGTTCCTGGCTCATATCCTTTCCTGGACCACGCTGTTTGTTCTTACTCATAGGACAAGCAGATGGGGTGGTACGTGCATCTACAAGAGAGAGAAAGAGGGAGAAGAGCTAATATGTGGGAAACTCAATCTGCAATATCTGGTCTCTGAGGGCTGATGCATCGCTGGCTGTCAGCCGAAATCTGTCCGAGAAAACGAGACCATTGCACGAGATAAATACTGTTAGCTGACCCCTTTCCAGCTTTCTTATTAGATGCCGTCCGGATCAAATTTCAGATCAGTCTCAAGCAGGTATGGCATCCTAGGAGGAAGAGACTCGATTGGGCTATGGTCGGTGGCTACCGAAAGATAACAAGCACGGATGCATCAGGTTTGAGCCAGATTGTATATCTGGCCTATATGCAGAGCAGTCTTCGGCACGTTGGATTGAATACTAGCATCACCGCACCACACTGACCCCAAGTATATACCGCACCATTCTCGAGATCACCCACGACCGGCTCAATCCCGGTCGATCTCCACCACCGGCCCCGTATACTCCTTGCCACCCCAGAGCACATAATACACCGTGCTGAGCAGACTCGTCCCCGCCGTGCCCACCACTGCCCAATTCATCGTACTCGCCGTGGGGCTGGCCACGGTCGGCCAGAAACTGAAGAACACGCCCACCGTCAGATACGCGATCGTGAAAGCGTTCACCAGGATGCCGAGCACGCCGCGGATGTGGAACGGGCCCCACGCCAGCGGGGCCCCAGCGGTGTTGACCAGCACCGAGTCCACGCCCGCGACGGCGGGGTCGCGGATGCCGCCCGTGCACCGCTTCCAGATCAGCAGCGTGGCGGAGATGAGGTAGGAGGTGTAGAGGGCGCTGACGCAGAGGGAGACGACGTCGTTGAGGACGGCGGCGGATCCGAGGATGATCAAGGCCAGCAGGACGGCCGCGACGGTGACGACGAGGATGGACCATTGCGGGACGGCTTGGGCGTTGACCTGGAATTTGAGGTCAATACATGGTAGACTTCAAAGAAACAAGGACGGAGGATGGGGGCGTACTCGACTAAGGATACGCCAGCCTGGAAGACCGCGATCTCGGGCAAAAGACCAGACCATGCGCGATGACGAGGCTAGCGAGCCGACTGCGGTGGCTGTGACTAGAATCGGCACGATGGCACTCATCACCGTACAGCCGCCGACGGAACTCGTGGCTGAGCAGAACACCTGCATATAGGGATATCCGGTGGGCGTTGCCAGCGCGGTGTCAACATCGGTCATGGTGAACAAGGTGCTCAGGACCATGCCGAAGCCCAGCAGGCCGTTGATCACAACGGAGGTGAGGATGGACTGCGGCACGACGCGCTCCGCGTTGTGGATCTCTTCACTCATCTAAAGCACATGTCAAGTTAGTGCCAGTCCGACATGAGGGGGCGAGCAGACTTACGTGAACGGCGGCATCAGCCCCCGTGAAGGAGAACATGGCCCCCGTCATTCCCACCATGAACGCCAGCCCTTCGCTCTGAAAGCCCCCGTCGTTTCGGAATGTTCCAAACACCTCGGACGCATCGTTGTGACTGCCCAGGTAGAGGAGTGGGATGATGATGGCGAAGAAGCCCACGATGTGCAGGATCAGCACGAATCCCTCAAACTTGGGAAGCCAGGTGCTGGCGACCGCGTTGACGAACACTGCAAACGCCAGGATGGCCCAGAAGAGCAGTACCGTCTGCCATGCTGTCGGGACATAGGTGCTGTGGTTCAGGACCACGAGGCCCTGAATCTGGGAGGCGCTCAGGTAGCAAGTCGATGTGAATGCTCCCAGCCAGCCGATGACGATCAACCACCCTGGAGGGCAAGTCCGTCAACCAGTCATGACAAAGAACTCCAGAGTGACAGAGAAGGTCGGCAGGCAACATACCTGTGAGAAAGCTAAGGTACTTTTGACATGATGCCGGAGACATCATCGAGACCCAGTGGTACTGGCCTCCGGACGTTGGGGCCCTATGCGAGAGGCATGTCAGATTCTGTCGGGCAGCAATGGACAAGAGCACATACATTGAGACCAACTCCGACAGCGTGAGAAAGGTCGAAAAGGTGCCCAACCAGACCACCAAAAAGCTATACACGGTTCCGGCCGGGCCTCCACTGTACGATCGGCTTTTGTTAGGTGCCACTCAGGCAAGAAATCGTCCAGGTGCGCCACATACTCTTCAAACGAGATGACAAACGTCGACAAGATACCTTCCCAAGAGGCCAAGATAGTACAGGAAAATCCTAGAATGGACAGAAAACCAAAGCGACGCTTGAGGATCTGCTTCTTGCCCACACGCCCGAGCCCCTGGTCGTCCTGGACCTGGGTGTGACTGGTACTCGCGGCTTTGGTGTCGACGTGCCGATCGCGGAGAGGAATCGGGTCCTCCATGCTGACTATCGAGAAGCTTCAGCTGCCAAGATCCCACGCAGTAATGAGACAGGCGTGGTAGAAGACAAGAGAGCAAAGAAACAATCAAAATGAAAGAGACAAAACGGGATTGTATAATTTTTCTTCCCGATTCTTCTCGCCCGCGCTTTTGTCTCATGGCGCACAAAGACACTTAGTCGTCGTCTATCATTCCCAAAAGAGGGGCGCCAGCCCTGAACTAGTGGCACGAATAGCCCCCCTCCTGCTGCACTCGCAAAGCTGCACGGGAGGTTAATTGCTGAGAACGGGTGGGTGAAACAGATCAAATGGCCGTCCTCCTTTATTCAGCGCAACCACCCCACCGGCAGGGGATATAAATTGATGCGTGACTAAATCCCTCAGTTCCCGCGCCTTCGCTCCAGTCGATCACTTGCAATGGGCTGACAAGCACTGCGCTTTCAGACTAAGCATATTTATTAGCCTCGGAGCTATCTTCCACTAGCAGGGGAACTAATATACCAAGTGTGGAGAATTCACATTGGGCCGACGCGTAGTCGTTTGCTACCAAGCCAAGTCCCACAGCCCCATCATGTCTCACTTTTCCTTATTCTGATAAGCTCTACTAAGCTACTGTCAAAGATTGAAGCCATGGTGGCCCTCCCTCTCCCCGTCCCCGCCAATGCCAGCCATTGACACTAGCGCACTGGTTGACTGCGATTCGACCCTCCATCAGTGGTGATCGACTCGGTGGCAGCATTGGGATCGTAATGCTCCTCCACGGCCCAGGTCATCGTCTGACGGATGATATGACTCTGACTGGTCTGGCTATGCGCGTCGTCCCAGTCGCGCTCCCGCTGTTCCGCAAGAATGGTCGTGTCGTGAGCCGACCCGTGCAGCTGGTTCAGCTCATGCGCCGTGCCGCTCCGTTTCTTCTTCCCCGACCCGTACCCGTATTGTTCGTGCGTCGAACTCTGCCCCGGTAGATGATAGAGTCGTAGCCCGGTGGACTGCAGTCCATCCATGAATGGCTTGAGGTGAGGGATGCAAGAGACGATGATGGCCAGACACTGGACCAGCTGCATGCAGACGGCGACCTTCCAGATCTCGAGCAGGGGCTCATCCGGATCTTCTTGCATGCGGCCTCGATACACCAGCTCCATCACGATAGCGACTACGACTCTGAGCCCGCCGTCACGGCTTGAGTCAGCTCATAGTTCTGTCCAACGCACGGGGACCGGGTCACTTACAAGATACGAGTAGCGAAACACCCGATCACCACCGCCTTCTTCGTATCAGCCATCTGGATCTTGGAGACGACCAGAATGGGAAAGACCATCAGAGCGCATTCGGTGAGGATGTTGGTGATTCCGAAGTAGTACCACCATGCCGCCTGCTCGCTGGGTCAGTCGAGTTCTGCATCACGTCCAAATGCGGTTCATCGGCACCCTACACGGTTGAAGCATGTCTGCGTGAGCCAATTCCACGGTTGGGGCAGGCCACACTGGAACGCCACCGCAACTTCGCACGTCACGGCCCATGTTGTGATGAAGGCAATCAGCCCCCATTCCACTTTGCGGGTTCGTTGCATCAGGAATGTCATGAATGCCAGAGAGCTCAGCTTAGCGAATGTGATGCAGGGGATGTAGAGCAATTCCGCCGCATAGATTGACTATAACCCCGGCGATGTCAGTCACTGTGAAGTCTGTTCACGCGGATCCAAACACACCTTCAAAGCCACTGCCTGCTGATGCTGCGATGAAGCTCGTTGCTCTTGACCGTACCCATTGCCGGCTGCATTTGCGACACATGCTGCCTGTAGCACCGAGAAGACCTACACAGTGGCTCGCACGGTCAGAACAGGTAGTCCGTATGGTCTCTCCTTCCGCAATACACCTACCAGAGCCACCGAGATCAGGTGGTCGTCCATCGTCAGCTTCCTGACGATGACATATTTGATTAGAAGCCGTGTTCCCCCGGAGAGCACGGCGATGACCATGAAAAACCATGCCAGAATTCCGATGACGGGGGCGCGATTCGTGTCCGTAACCACAGTCATGGCTGCAGCAGACAGTGTTGCATGAGCGTCAGCGTCACCATAACGATTCCACCTCGCTCATCCAGGTTCTCCTTCATAAACCGACCACACGACGAATATCTCCCACGAGGATAAAAAAACGAGGCGGAAAAAGTAGATTAACATGGGATTGAGTGTCTCACCTGGAGGTGGATCCGAAGGTGGCCCGCGCAATCTATTAGGGTTCGGCCGGTTGGCGCAGATCCGTACCTTTGCGTGGCCCCATCACCCATGCACTTCACGCATATCCAACTTCCTACTGGATGGGAAAATTTCGGCGAATCTCAATCCTTGTCACTCCAGGACGGGCTGGCTGGGTCCCCCTAGTCTAAGGTTGGAGAATTCAAATTCGGCGCTGTGTGACGGTTCCCCCCTCTCTCTTAACCTTCGTTCGTTCCGGCCGTTGGATTTCGGCGCTATCCCCCCCTTTCATTATCTGCAACCCTAACGAAATCTCACGAACCGCCCTCGTGAAACTGCTTCTGACATCATGGGAGCAACGATGCATGAAGGAACCGCCCCATTCCGGTATGAGCACCTCCCCAGACCCGCGCAGACCTGGTATCGCGTGTACGGCGATCTCACGGTCGGCACCCCCCTGGTGGTGCTGCACGGGGGCCCGGGGTTCTGCCACAACTACCTGCTGCCCCTGGCCGACCTCGCCGGCCCCCAGCGGGCGGTGATCCTGTACGATCAGATCGGAAACGGGCTGTCGACGCACTACCCGGAGAAAGTCGGCGATCAGGGGTTCTGGACGGTCGAGCTGTTTGTCGCCGAGCTGGCCAACCTGCTCGCCCACTTGGGGCTCGCGGCCGGCCGCCCCTTCGATCTCCTGGGCCACTCGTGGGGGGGCATGCTGGGCGCCGAGTTCGCCATCCGGCGGCCGGCGGCGGCGGGGGGCCTGCGGCGTCTCGTGCTCTCCAACGCCCCGGCCTCGGTGTCGCTGTGGTTGGAGTCCGTGAACGGGCTCCGCGCGACGTTACCGGCGGACGTGCAGGCGACGCTGCAGCGGTGCGAGGCCGAGGGGCGGCTCGACTCGAAGGAGTACGAGGACGCCACCATGGTCTTCCTGTCGCAGTTCTCTTGTCGGGTGGACCCCTGGCCGCAGGAGTTTGTGGATAGTATCGTCTGGGCCACCGAGACGGATCCCACCGTCGCGTCTACCATGTGAGTCGTTGTGCTTCTGGCTCTGCCGTCCTCTAATTTAGTTTAATGTCTTTAACCTCCGGGGAATAGGCTGGGCCCGTCCGAGTTCTGGATCGAGGGCAACCTGAAGGATTGGAGCGTGCTGGATCGTCTGCATGCGATCCGGGTGCCCACGCTGCTGATCAACGGGAAATATGACGAGGCCCAGGATAGTACTGTCGAGCCGTTCTTCTGGGCTATCGACAAGGTGAAATGGGTGACATTGGCGGAGAGCTCCCACTGTCCGCAGTTTGACGAGCCGGAAAAATATCTGCAGGTCATCCGGGATTTCTTGGGCGCTCGGTAGAGCTGGGGTGGCTGAACATGCCATTCGGAAATAGCTGATACCACTCCAGGGGAGCTGAGACAAGCATATCACGCGACTGCGTCTGGAGGACCTATCAATGAAGATCCAATCAGTGGCCGTGAAATAGAACTTTCCATCTTACATCTCAGCATTTACTACCGATGTTACCTGGATCATGCTCTTTTCCACCGCGCATGATAATAGATGTTTACAGACGAGGATAATCATCAGTGGCGACATGGTCCAACAATATTCACTTTTTTTGCCTTGACGTGTAAATCATGTAGTTGGAAAGCAGGCAGAGAATAAATGCTGCACAATTGGGGGTATTCATGTCTTACATAATTATGCTAGTGCTGACGCATTCCCATGATCGGGTTATGGAAACAATAACGTTCAGCGCCCAAGCATTCATCTCATCCATCACGAAGTATAATTGGGGAGCAAATAGCCCGAAATGCAAGCTAAAGCGAGAGCTATACTGCCGGCCCCGGCGGAGGCTGACTTGCTCGGCAAAGCAGCCCCGTCAGCCCCGGCAGCCCCAACCACCATGTCATTCACCTGCCGCACCTGCGCCAGACGCAAGGTAAGATGCGACAGGCTGACGCCTCGCTGCTCCAGCTGCCGCAGGGGCAACCACGAGTGCTCATACCGAGCACCGACCCCGCGATCGCGGAAACGCAAGACAAGTGAGGAGCCCGCGGAGCAGCTCGCGCGATATGAGCGCATTCTGCGGCAGCACGGCTTGCTGGACGGTGACGCGCGGCCAACGGCGAGAGATACCTCGCCTGAACCGATTTCGTTTCAGTATAACCGATCCGAAGCCTCGAAGGCTGGTAGGGTGCTTGCGGCAGAAGGCACGTCGAGGTATGTCAGCGGGCATCCATGGAATACTCTCGGTGAGGAGGAGGTGCGACGCGTCTTCGAAGAGGAAGAGCAGGAGCAGCGGGAGATGGCCATTGCACCCGAGATCTTGGTGTCTGATCCGTTGATCGGTGCGCTCGTGGGCTCTCGACGCTCGCTTCTGCAGTACCACCCGACTCACGCAGAGGCCATGCTGCTGTGGCAAACGCATGTCGAGAGCGTGGAGCCGTTCTGCAAGATCCTGCACATCCCCTCCACCTCTGCGATGATCGAGAGGGTTTCATGCCGCCCCGTGCTAGCGTCAGATGCAGATGAGTGTCTTGTGTTTGCCATCTATCAATTTGCAGTCTACGCGATGACGGACGCGGACTGCATGCTAAAACTGGGCCATCCACGCGGCACCTTGAGCCGACGATATCATTCCGCCGCGCAACAAGCGCTGGTCAATGCTGCATTTCTGAAAACGAGTGACATCCAGGTCCTACAGGCTTTAGTCCTATTCCTCCTCTCCAGCCGCCAGCATTACGACTCGCAGACGTACTGGATCCTAACGGGTGTTGCCGTCCGGATCGGGCAGCGGATCGGACTCTACCAAGACGGCGAGAAGCTGGGAATGTGCCCGTTCGATGTCCAGATGCGGCGACGCCTATTCTACCAACTCATGCCCCTCGACGGCCGAGCGAGTCAAATGACGGGCACGGTCGTGTCCATCCCGCCAGACGCGTGGGACACCCAGCTCCCGCTCAACATCGACGACGAGCAGGTCTGGCCCGGCATGACGGCGACCCCGCGGGAGCAGCAAGGCGCGACGCAGATGATGTTCTGCCTGTCGCGCGCCTGCATCGGGCGGTTCTTCGCGAGCATGAGCCCGCATCTGCGCAGCAACGGGCCGTGGACGTTCGGCAGCCTGCCCGAGGCCGAGGCGGTCATCGGTGCCGCTGAACGGGAGGTCGAGCACAAGTACATCCGCTACTGCGATATCGTCGACCCGCTGCATTTCCTGACGGTCGGGCTGGCGCGCGCGGGCATCACCGCCATGCGACTCCGGGTCCGGCTCACGAAGGTCCGGCATCTGACTGCCACGGACGCGGAGATAAGGGAGGTCTTGCACCTCGCCCAGAAGATTTTGGATACCGATGCGGCGGTGTCGGACCACCCGGGCTTGGGAAAATACCGGTGGCATGTCCGACCGTTCTTTCTGTGGGGCACCTTCGATTCGTTCATCTTCGTCTTGACGACCCTGTGGACGCGGGCTAGTGTTCTCTCTCCGGTGGAAATTGAGGAGGCGTGGAAGAAGGTTGAGCAGCTTTATGGTCATCATGATGAGTTTTGGGACTTGAAGCCGTTGTATGTAGCACTGCGGAGACTCACACTCAAAGCTTGGGATGCTCATGCGCGAAGCGACACGGGTGCAGAGCCGGGGTTCATTGCGACCTTGCGCTCATTGCAGACGACGAAGCGCAAGATAAAGGAGGGGCCTCCAAAAGTATCCCCAGATACAAACCCTTTGAGGGGCGACACAATGTTTTTGACAGTGCCCTCTGCGAGTGACATTGACGCGGTTCTTAGTTCGGTGGCTGAGAGTATAAATGGAGAGATGGGCGACGGCATCGACTTCGATACCGTGGACTGGGCTTATTGGGATCAGTTGATCCAATATCACCAAGGACATGATGATGAATGACTAGGAGCCATGAACACGTTCCTCCTAGGGAGTAGAGTTCAAAACCTCCTCGTAGAAGAGGATATATGACACGGAGTCGGAACCTTTCTCCATCCCGGTTCCGCAGTGAGGCTGGAAACGGACGTTTCAAACTGCCCCAATCCCGGTCCGTTTTGGTCCTCCATTGGTCAAATCCTCGGGTCGTCCGCGGCCGAGCATCCAGCCAATCAGAAAATCCCGCTATCAGCGGCCATATAGTATAAAAAACCCCATCATGGTCACCGCTGTTCAATCCCAACAAACAATATTCACATCCGGTCAAACCCAAGAATCATGCCGCAGCTCAGAGTCCTCATCGTGGGCGCATCGATCGCCGGCCCAACAGCGGCCTACTGGTTCGCCCGAGCCGGAGCCAAGGTCACCGTCATCGAGCGGTTCCCGCACCTGCGCACCAACGGCCAGAACATCGACATCCGGACCGTGGGCGTGACGGTGATGCGACGGATGCCCGGGATGGAGGAGGCGGTGCGGGCCAAGACCATCCCGCTGGCGGGCATCGGCTTCGTCCGCTCCAACGGCCGCCCGTACGGAATCATCTCCACAACCGGCGACCCCGACCAGCAGTCTCTCGTCTCCGAGTACGAGATCTACCGAGGAGACTTATCCCGGATTCTATACGACCGCACCGCGTCACATCCCAACATCACTTATATCTTTGGCGAACAGGTCGCCTCGATCCAGCAGCACGGCGAGAAAGGCGAGGATAGCCCCGTGACGGTCGAGTTTGCCAACGGCTCCCCTGCAGCGGAATTCGACCTTGTCGTGGCCTGCGACGGGGCGACTTCGCGGACCCGCGCGATAGGACTCGGGGTCGGCGTGCGGGATCACCTCGTTCCGACCGGTAGCTGGGCGGCGTACTTCTCCATCAAGCAAGATCTCCTGGGAACGAGTGATAACATCGGGAAAGCGTACAATGCTGTCGACGGGCGCTTCATCGCCGCTGCGCCCGACCCCTGGGGCGTGAATCGCGTGGTCATGATCAAGCACCAGCCACCATCCCACGGCAGAGATGCCACTAAGTCGTTCCGGGAGGCGATGAAACAGGGCGAGGATACACTCAAGAAATTCGTGGCGCAGACCTACCGCGGCGCCGGCTGGAAGTGCGACGAGGTGATCCAGGACATGATGGAGGCGGAGGACTTCTACGCCAGCGAGATTGTGCATGTCAAGCTGCCACACTTGTCGAAGGGACGGTTTGTGTTGGTCGGGGATGCCGGGTACGCCGCTTCGACGGGCACCGGGACAAGTCTTGCCATGGCGGGGGCGTACGTGCTGGCGGGGGAGGTTTTCAAGCACAAGGGCGATCTCGCGGGTGCCCTGCGGGGGTATGAGGACGTAATGCGGCCTCTGATTGATGACATGCAGAAGGTGCCCCGGTTTCTTCCGGCGATTTTCACACCGCAGACGGCTTGGGGGCTGTGGCTGAGGAATACGGTGTTTGCTTTCTTGTGTTGGAGTGGGATTCTGGAACTCACGCAGAGGTTCTTTGCGGGGTCTTTTGCCAATACTGATAGGTATCAGTTGCCGGAGTATGAATGGGAGGAGTAGACACGCGCGTGGGATGGTTGGATGATGGCGGTGTTTAATTAATTTAAGGTCCTCGCAACTCGGACAGATATCCCCCCAAAACTGCACTTTGCTTTGTGGATGTGGGAACAGTCGAAGGCTTATTCACAGTAGCTTTAATGACAAACAAAGTAGCGATCATCTCATCATCCCTAATATCATCTACAGATGCTGTCAGGCTGATCGCCTGTGTGACAAGAATCTGTGTAGAAGACCCAAGATGGTTGCAAAGGCATTACTGCCCATCCAGCAGCATGAATTGAGGGTTCAGAGCGAGGTCCAATAATGTACTGCCAGGACTAATGAGTTGCAAATGTTCACCTTCAAGTTGGTTTGTTTGCTGTGATGACAAGTGAGTAAGATGGTCTTGGAAGGGCACACAGAGAAGCAAGAGGCAGAGATCAGTCATCTCTGGGCGTGTTACATTCACAGGAGATCTTCTGGAGCAGACCAATCAGCATGCCTTAGGCCGCCAACTACTCCTACTTCATTTCTTTTCTCTAGTCCTCTTCTTCTCTTCTTCTCTCACTTGCTTTGCTCAGCTACTCCTCCACCTTCTCCTCACCCTCTTTTCTTGTCTTTCATCCACCCGCATACACCCGCAAAGTTGCGTCTCTTTCCACTCATATTCGCATCAACACAACACAAACCCCATGTTCTACACATCTTTCATACATTGTCCTTGACTGGTGAAATTAGCTGAAATCAATAACACCCACACAAAATCCTCACTCCCCACACTCCGACATTGCGTCTAAGCTCCGAGCTTCTACTTTGCCGGCCCAGTCTTCTCGCAACACTGTCTGACCCACTCAGTTTCTGTCCCAAGTCACGTCTCATTCCCCAGAATGTCCAGCAATTCTGGAATGTTCGCGGATGCCAAAGCAGGGGAGCTCTGCGACTTGGAACTAGAGTGTGAAGGGGTGAAACTTACTGTCCACAGAATCGTGGTTTGGAATCAATCCGAGGTGATCAAGACTGCCTGCAAGAGCAACTTCATCGTAAAGCCAGCCACCTCCATTGCTTCTAACGAGGTGTTAGATCTAACACTGAAGAAGGAAGCCCGCACCAACGTCATCCAGGTCCCCGATTTCTCTCTCGCGGCTGTGAAGCGGATGTTGGAGTACATGTACCTCAGTGACTATAGCCTGGACAACGATTCCAAATGGGATTCCGGTATGTGGTCCTCGGTACAAGACTATGGTGTGTTCGTGTCATGGCACACACTAACTGAGGTACAAGAGCCTGTGCAGTCTACCGTTGAGGCGAAGTCGGATTCGATCAGAGCTGACGCAGCAGACACTCACTCCGACCTCATCTGCGTCACCGAGACGGTTCCCGAGACGGTTCCCGAGACGGTTCCCGAGACTGCCGACCCCACACCACCCACAGCTGCGGAGGCCCTGCGTCCTCATCTTGAGATGAGTATGATCGCATGTTACTACCTAGTCCCGGGACTGGAGGCTTTGGCGCTGAAGAAGATCAAGACGGCGTCAGAGCAAAGCTGGTCGCCCGCTGAATTCGACGAGCTGGTCGCCGAGGTCTACCCTTTGATCCCTCACGAGGCCACTCGAAAGCACCTATCTGACCTGGTCGTCGAACACCTGGACGATTTCCCATACAATGAGACTCTTTTCCCGGATCCACTCGCGCGCCAGGTTATCTCGGGGCTGGAGCATCAGCTGAGCACGGCCAGAGAAAGTATATCTGCGCTTACAGAAAAGTCAATTCTTGCGGATGCTGCGAAGGCACATGAAGAAGGGAAACTTCGGCGGTTGGAGGATAATTTGGAAAAGCTCAAGGACACCTCCAACTGCCGCCACTGTGGGATAGGATTCCGTAGCTACCCTGAGCTGGAGGCTGCAGATGGCTCGTCTCTCAAGATACGATGCAGGGATTGCAGGACTCGACATTATGGCTCTTGAGTGTGATGGGAATCGTTAGATCTGAGCTGTCACACGTATTGCACTGGATTTGAGAGTGGGTTGGGCTTAAAAGTGCTTCTTGCTAACCATATCTTCTTGCTGATGATTGTACGATGTTCCTCTAAAAAATAATCGTCCACTTTATCACGATTCTGTAAGATCAGCCTTCTGTTGTATAGCCAGCTGAGTCATCTGTGCATGGAGAAAGTCACGTGCTCCAGGCACCAGTGGAGCGACAGCCACCAATCAGCTGTCTGTCTGCCATGCCAAAGCCGATCAGAGTTTGTCGACCATCACGTGGCGCTCCTCCCCGATAACATGCTATCAATAAATTAGAAGTCAGCCATACCTTGCCTCTTTCATACCAGAATTACAAAAAGACCTAGAAAATATTAAACCACCCCTTAAACATGGACCTAGACATACAACCCGCCTCGTCCACTACGGGCACACAACCAGACCCTCCACCCCCCCAACCGCTCCCACCAACAAACACAATGCACGAACTCCCCATCCAACCGCGGGGCCTCCTCTGGCAAACCGACTTCATCACGCCCGCCCACGAAGCCACCCTTCTCCAATTCTTCCGGCACGACCTGCAATGGCCCACCCGCCCCGGCCGCATCTCCTTACACTATGGCTACACCTTCGACTACAAGACCTTCAACATCGACCCGGCCATCCCCTACCGCCCGTTCCCGGACTGGCTGGTCCCGTTGCTCCCGGCCCGCGAGCCCCGCGCCCCGGACCAGGTCTGCCTGCAGTATTACCCGCCGGGGGCGGGGATCCCGCCGCACGTGGACGCCCACGGGCCGTACGACCAGCTCTACGCGCTGTCGCTGGGCGCCCCCGTGCTGATGGAGTTCCGGCGCGGGGACGAGCGGGTGGAGGTCGACTGCGAGCCGCGCAGTTTGATGTGTATGAGTGGCGATGCCAGGCTGTTCTGGACGCATGGGATTAAGAAGCGGAAGACCGATGTTGTATCCCTGGACGGTGGGGAGACGCGGGTGAGGGCTAGGGGGGAGCGGTGGAGTATTACGTATCGGTGGTTGCGGGAGGGCGGGGAGTGCGAGTGTGGGGATTTGCGGCTCTGTGATACCGCGCAGCGGCGGGCCGGGGTCGAGAAGGAGAAGAGGTCGGTGGTTGCGTTGAGGGAGGCAGCGGAAGCTGCTGGTGGTGGTGAGGATGAGGGGAAGGGGAAGGGAAGGGGGAAGGGGGAGGGGGAGGATGGTGATGAGAGTTGAAGCATGGGGGCTTGGTTTTGGTGGTTTACTTGTTTTCGCAGTCTCATACCCTAGCCTTTGGATTGTTCGGAGTTGGTCTTGTGAGGCTTCAACTTCAGGAGTTTGTTTGATTTATTTGGTGATCGAGTGTTGTCATGCTTAGCAGGCAGATCTGTGATGAGTCTTTACATGTGTCAAGACTGTAGGAAGCATCACTCTCTGACATGCCAGATTTCTGCCACAGTCCAGGTGTATGCAGTGTATACTCCAGTCAAAATATTTAACGATGCTGAAAATATGTCTCGTCCAGGACCATCTTCTTCAGACAAGCATAAAAGACTTTCGGGCTCATACATATATCATAGCCCGTGCAAGCCCTGTAACCAGCCAACCTGGCTGTTTATTCTTCTGGCACAAATAACATACTCTTGCTTCAAGCTGTCCAACCGCCTATAAAGGCACCCCTAACTATCCCCACTCAACTTCGCCTCAATGACACTTTGCGTCGCCAGCGGCGAACTCCAGATCTTCACCACGCGCAGCCCCACCGAGGCCAACAGGTCCTGCCACATGCCCTCGGTGCGCTCGAACGCCGACACAAGCACCATCATCGTGTGATCGTAGCCCGTGGCCTGCGGGTGCGCCCCGACCGCCGGGATCACATGGTCGTGGATCAACAGGGTGCTGTACCCGGGGGTCATCGCATCGCGCAGGTGCTCCAGGATCTGCCGGGCCAGCGCATCCGACCAGTCGTGCAGGACTCCGTGCAGGTAGTAGGCCCGCGCGCCTGTCAATATCACACCAATCATGCGTTAGCCATCCACTTCATCGCCGTACACTTTGCCATTGGACCCACTCCCTCCTCAATCTGGGCACAAAAAAATAGAAACTTAAAAGAAAACAAAAAAAGCGGGGGAAGAGGGGGAAGAGGGGCATACCCTTAACCGGCTGAGGCGTGAAGAAATCATGCGCCATGGCGCGCACCTCAGCGGGACAGATCGCCTGGCGCACGACCTCCGGGCGATCCTGCAGCACCAGCCGCCCCGCGAGGCCGGGCTTCTTGCCCAGAAACTTGTTCATATCGTGGCCGACGTTGCCTCCCACGTCGACCAAGAGGGGGATCTCCGAATCGTCATCGGGCCGGTCGTCCGCCAGCCGGTCGTAGGGGAAGATGTCCAGCATGCCCGCCTGCTTGGCCATGACGCTGCCCATCACGTTGTTGAAGACGGCGCTCTCGGCCGGGTGCTGGGCGTAGTAGTCGAAGAGCGAGCCCGGGAAGTTCTTGGTGTACTGGAAGATGCCGTCGTTGGGGTCGGTGGGGTTCTGGTAGTCGGTCTTGGCGAGGTATTCGGGCATTTTGGCGAAGCAGGGGTTCACTGTGTCGTGTCTGGGTTTGAATTGGGGGTCAGTGCATTAGGTATGTGTCAGGGGACTCAGCGGGTACGGACAAGAATGGGATCCAGGCTCCGAAGACGGGCTCGAGGAGGGATCTGCTGAATGCGGATTGTTCGTAGTGGTCGGCGGAGACCTCGATGATGATGTTGGTGGATGCCAGATGGCGGAGGATGCGACCTATTCAGGGTTTGGGATTGTGGGCAGATGCAATGCAGTGTCCATGCCGTTTGACTTACCGAGTAGGACGGGGTCTGAGTTGGTCAGTTCAGCAAGCTGTGCGGTCGACTGCTCCGCCTTTTCTCCTACGTGGAGCCATTTCTCGAAGAGCTGTAGGTCATGGCTCACTTTCAGGGCCGCGGTCAGGGCAGGCTGGAGGAAGTGTCAGGACCACAAACTCATTATCACGGGCCAGAAATTCTACCTCTGTAATGCAAAGCCGCGCCACGGTATCCCACGAAGTCTCCAAACGACTGATCAGAGCGTACGCCTCTCTCAGCGCTTTAACTCGGTCACCATCATACGCAAAGGATGTACGGTCGATACCCTTGATTGACTGAGTGAACTGGTCCACATCCACGGTGGTAGAAGGAGTCGAATCACCGGTTGACGCCATTGTGGTTCAGCAACTGATCACTTCGGAAAGGGTGAAGAAATCGATCGATCGGGGTGCAGGGGGGAAGGTACATGTATTTCTGTCAGGGGTGATTGTGTCTGGGTCTTGCAGGCTGTCAGCTTACCCCTCACAGCACTAGAGGAAATAAGTTTGACCCAGCGCAGGTCGGCGACCAACGAGCAGATGCGCACTGACAATCGGCAGCGGGGCCCGGTCAATCGGGTCCACGCAGACGGTGGAGATCGTCCAACTTAGGGCCCGCCAACCGCCACCGACTCTTCACCTCGCATACCGCGGCCCAATTTCTTGCTGTCTACATATATATGTCGATCTATGCAGTACTAGCGTGACCCTTATTAGAACTCTCGACTGCTCTGGACCAATATTGGTCGCCCTGCTCTGAAGGATGCTCATCGCATTTTTCTTCCGGGCGTGCGTGTCTTACGCTGGCAAGTGAGTATCATGAACTAAAAATTGGGATTGCATGCGGCCCATCGGTGCCCCTTGCTTCCACTGTAGAGCACTAGAAGCTTCTTCCGCCCACGCAGCGACCATCAAGGGTGGTATTCCACAGACTATTCTAATGCGACCAGGGTTCACACATCGGCCATCTCAGTAGATCGGACGCCATCGTCAGAAATTAGCTTGGCCGTCGAATATCAAGCCGAAATGCCATGGATATAAATCTGGATGGATTACCTTCTATTAAAGCTAGCTTAACAAAGTGTTCGTCAGCTTCTATTTGTGGTCCACTAAACGAGTCGTCTTCCTTGTACCGGCTCTGACTGGTCGTGGAGTGTTAGTAGTTTCAAGCTTTTTATGGTCTTGTTTACACCTATAGTATCGAAGAGTGCCCACTTCAAAGCTGTCAAAGTGGCAAAGTCAGCGACAAAACAAGCCTGGTCTCCATAGACATGGCATCTACAGAGCCCATTCTTACTCTTGGAAAGGTTACCCAATTTTTCTGAAGTCGAGAGCCAAGTAATCCGTCGGAGGAAAGACTGCTTGTTCTTTCCTTGACATCTCGTACCAACCCACCGTCCTGAATGCGACGAGAGCGAAGCCGCGATTCCCAACTGTCTAGGCTCGCAAGATTGTTGCTTGCGGCAATTGAGTCAAACTGTCTGGCGAGACGCGTGAGACTGCAACGCTAACAACAAAAGCAGCATACACTACTCGTCGCATCTCGGACTGTAAGACTATCGCAAGTGCCATGGTGCGTTGGGTGTGTGAGCCCTGCAGGGTCTGGTGATGCTTCATGCACCCGGCCCGATATCGGCGTGATCAGGGGCGCGTGAGCCAGCCCATCAACGGGGTCACGCATGTACATGTAGTGTAGAGTACGGGAATGGCGCTCATCTGCAGGGACCCTGCTCTCGGTCGGGTGGTGGCATTGTTCCACGCCGCGTGGGCATGGTAGTACAGGAGGTCTCTTCTGCGGTACAGGAGGCTGTACGACAGTACGGAGGTACTACATGTAACTTCCCGGATGCCGTACGAGAGCGGGTCGAGCCGCCACAAGCAAGCCGGAGTCACTGCTGTCGCAGCCACACTCTCATGTCACCTGATCATCAGCCACGCTACTGTGGCTAGGGCCGCAGGGCCAATTGCACCGACCGAGTTGATGCCTCATTGGCCTGAATGATCTCTGTGCCTGTGCCTGTGCCTGTACTATATTATTGCTGTACATACAACATCACCATGCTAATATCTCCCCATCAATTGTCTAAGTTAACCAGATAATTCATTTCAATTGATCAATCACTCTTTTATTTTGCGCGGTGGTTTTATTCGTTTTGTGCGAGTTCTGGTCACAATGAACGAGGTATGAAGCTTACAAAAGAATACAGTAGTGATATGTGCTACCTACGTAGTATGTGCTGCATATTGGTGTCAGACCAAGAGACCAGCAAGAAAACAGTTCTGGTATGAGTGACCAATGTGGTAGGTATGGTTGGCTGGGACAGGCACAAAGCTTGTGATGCCAAGCCCGTGCATAAGAAGTGGATCCTCCAGTGGGGCAGTTGCCCTGCTCGAGTCCTCGACACGTCGCGCTTCGCTTCACAAGGCAGCAAGTCAGCTCCGGGAACCGCCGGAGTTCTCTTCCATTGTAACTTTGCACCACCAACAACGACCTCACATACCTTCTCACCCCCACGTCCCCAGTGTCATTTCCCCAGATGGATGTATCGTTAAAGGACCCTTTTTGGGGCCCGCAAACCTCCTACTTGAAGTAAGCTTCCCCTCAACAATCACCTGATAACTGCCGTAACTCACCCGCTGTAGCTTCTGTGAAGAGGTACAGTACATGATCCTATGAGCCATGCATCCTTCAGAAGGGCAGAAACTCATGCCTCAGACTGTAGGACTATGTCGTCACTCGCTATGTGGCTGAGTTTATCAACACATGCAGCAGCCTTATCTACAGTGCGTCCAGGCCCCAATCAAGGGGCAACATGCCCAGCAGTCTGATGCCCGCCAGCTAACAAGACGCACTGCCACAAATCCGCAGTCCTCTATGGCATCTACGGCCTGAGCCAGCTTCGATCCAAGCCCTCTGCATCCTTCGCCCGGGCAATCCCCTGGTTCGGTCTGATGGGCGTGGGGATCTGCTCGGCCGGGTACCATATGACCCTGAAATACCACACGCAGATGTGTATGTCACCTGACCTGATCAACTGCATGTCTTTACCCAAAGACTGACCGTGCTGAATCCAGCGGACGAGCTCTCGATGCATCTGTTGACCACGCCCCTGGTGTATCGGGTTCTCTCGTTCCAGGTGAGCCCGCAGTGGCGGCGCCTCATCGGCATCGCGCTCGCCCTTGAGTTCACCACCGTCATGGTCGTCCACATGGTCATGGACGAGTTCCTGCTTCACGCCGTGACCTTCGGGGCGGGGGCGTTGCTCATCGCGCGACGGACCATGCAGATCATCTCGCATCAGATCCCCAACCCGGTGATCAAGCAGAAGACCCGCAACATCGGGCGGTTCGGTATTTGTAAGCTCCCCCAATACCCTCCGAAGGAGATATCCCCACTTTTGACGGATCCTGACAGAAGCACAGTCTGTTTCCTCTTCGGCTATTTCGCCTGGCTGGTCGATGTGTGGGCGTGCAACCACCTGACCCACATCAGGGAGCTGGTCGGCGCGCCGGTCGCATTTTTCTTGGAGCTGCATGGATGGTAAGTTATTCCACCTTCTGCAGGCCATTGTGTCTGTCAGCCATTGAGACAGGGGATTTGCGAAAGATTTGCCCTTTTCTTAATCGGACCAACTGACCGGTCAAATCGGGTAGGTGGCACTTCTTTACGGCCATCGGTGCCTATGTCGCCGTCGCGGTGGTCGATATGATCACCTCGGGCGAGGTGCACACCGACCCCTCGCCCCAGCTCGCCTGGCCGGTCTCGCTTGCTGCCCGGCTGATGGGGCCTGATGAAGCGCAGACGAAGAAACAACATTAAGGTCTGTTTTCTTCTTATCAGTCGAGACGTGAGCGGGCGAGGTGCTTCATGTTATCGTGGTGTATACATTAGACGATATAGTCAGCTTGAGGCGGCGTGTTAATGGTGGCATGCGTCCGTGGCAGCTTTTAGGTGTTTGGTGAAGGTGGGGGTAAAAGATAGGTCTGAGGATGTTGGTGGAGAATTTCCGTCCAGATGGGAGGGGAAAGTCTTGTGCGTCTAGTGCATTCACTAGTTCTAGTGCAACTGAATAAATGTCAGCCTGATAAAAGCATAGGATTTGAGTCCTTATCACCAATTCGTCGGTTTTTCGATTATGGAATTCTTGGGGCGGGAGGCATGGATATATACTTAACATAAATGCATGGGCTGACTTTCGACCGGGATCTCACTTTCTTTTCTTTCGTTCAGAGCCGCTTCGTTTTTTTGTGTATTCCCTCGTATTTTTCTGCAATCGAGCCAGATGATAATAACTCTTAAATCAGACTTATTGCAATGACCTCCCCGAGTCCTAAGAAGAAGTTGCTAGTAATGTACTGACTATGTGCATTATTAGTCATCAGAAAGCATAGCAGAGCTACCGCGTTATGCGTTGCGAAGCACGGCGGGTGGACCCCACAAGGCTGTTGAATGATCTGGTCCGTTGAAGGCAAGAGAAAATGATTCGGATTGCATTTCGCACCGCCCAGGGTTATTTGTCACTTACTGTAGTATGCCCGCAAGCTTAGTCTGTAGTAATAGGAGCAGCTAATTGAATGCAAGTCTCGAAGAGTCCAGTACAGGAGCAAAAATGGTTATCATGACATATTCATGTTAAACACAAGAGTCTGGTAATGCACGCAAAGCAGCGCGGTATCTACAAGGTCGGGGTATCTCTGAATCACAAAATGTAAGTTACTGTACAATCTCAGCCAGGCCACCATTACGGCCAACATCAACATCAACATTAACATCAACATCAACATTAACATCAACACCAACATCAACACCGATCCGCACCCCACGCCCCCGTCACGTTCACGCCGCCGATATTGCGAATGCCCATCAGCCCCAGGACCGCCTGGCCGCGACGGATCAACTCGCCGCCCTGGCCGAGGGCGTCTCGGCGCTGGATGCCGAGCCGCCGCAGCCGCTCGACCTCTTCCTCGGCCAGAATATCCCCGCCCTTCCGCCCCTGCCACACCGCCTCGCGCACGACGGGCGCCCACGTCTCCGCCGCCGCCGCCTCATCCTGGTTCCCGGCGTACACCTTCCGCTGCCCGTCCGGGTGGGCCGGATCCGCGACCAGCTGGGACGAGAACCACTCCGACCGCACCACCTCGTACCGCCGCTCCATCCACCAGATGGCCGGCCACGTGATGACCCACAGCTGGAGGATGATGCACGCCCAGTAGACGAACCCATGATTGCGGAGCCGGTTGATCCAGTGCGGCGAGTAGACGGTGATGGTGCCGTTCGCGAGCGACGGGGCGACGTGCACGTGGCCCTGGTAGCCCGTGGAGCGGATGTGGGCGATGAGCGCGGTGCGCATGGGCGCGGCGTCGAAGCCGTTGAGGTTGCGTCGGTAGGTGAATCTACATCCCAATCGGATTGTTAGTCAGACCTTGCTCCCCCCGTAGATCCTCGTTCAGCCGCAAAACGTACGATTTGACTGGGGCCGGGTCGTCGCAGAACCGCCGACACCACCCCCGCAGCCCCGGGGCATCCTCCCCCTGCGCATCCCCGGCTTCCAACCCCACCATCAGTCGATCCCCCTCCCCGTCCCCGTCCCCGAGTTCCGTGGTCCCCTCGTCCGCTGGTAGCGCGATGCGCCCGCCTGACTTCTTCCCGTGCCGCGCTCCGCGCGACGGCCAGCGCCCCCCGCGGTACGCTTTCTGGTGATCGTAGTCGCCGACGACGGTGGTGTAGGACCAGCGCTGGAGGGGGCCGGTGCCGCCCCAGGTGAGCAAGGTGCGGGTCAGGTCGATGCGGAAGTTGAAGTCGCAGACGGTGCGGCGGGTGGAGTCGTTGCCGCGGCGCTCCTTCTCGTGGTGCTGGCCGCCGATGATCAGGCACGGGCGCGGGGGCAGGCGGGTCTGCTGGTCGACGAAGCTGTACAGCGCCTCGGCGTCGGTGGCGAGGATAGGGTCTAGGGTGACGACCCCCGCGTGGCGGGTCTTCTCGCGGACGCTGTGGTACGGCTGGTGGCCGGGGATGGTGTAGGCTTCGTGGGGTGGGGAAAGCGGGTCGTCGCGGTAGGGTGCAGTTGGTGTCGGTGTCTGGTCGGTTTCGTTGTATGCCGGGGGTAGGTCGTCTTCCGGGAGCGGGTAGGGGATGGAGGATGAGGAGGAGGTGGTGGGGACTGGGGGGTCGGGGGGAAGGTCTTTGATTTGGCCCATGATGATGGTTTGATTAGATTTGGAAAGAGAAGAAGGAGATGAGAAGCGGACTGTGTTTGGTTTTAAGAGGGGAAATAAGCAGAGAGCACTACTGCAGCAGGCAGCGGTGGGGGCGGTGGATCGGGTGCCTGAATGTTCCTGCCACTAAATCTACTCCGCCCCCACCGCCCCCATTGCCCTCCCTTGAGCCAACCAGCTCACTACTGCCCAGTCAATATTTCTACAGTCGAGTGAAGCAGGAACAAAGTGAAGTTTATTTTCTACTTCTAAGACGTAGCATTCGCTGGGTTCGTTTCTGTGTTCTGCTTCCTTGAACCATTTTGCTACTTTCAAAGTGCTGTACGTTAAAGAACGTAGAAGAGGTGAGGATGAGATATGTAAGACCCTGCCTATGTTCTAAAAGTCTTTCTAAAAGTCTTTTAGTAACAAACTAGGATATTCACACAAGATCATTTGTTATTAAACTTTGACTTCATTTGCTTTGACTAACAAACCCAGGATCCATGAACAGTTCTAGACAGAATGAACGGCACATGCTCCTGTCCGCGACGTTACAAAAGCATCATCCAAAAGACACTTCATAGAACCAGAAGGACACCTCATGGAACCAAAAGAAGCAGTCCTCAGCGTCAGAGGCTTCCGATTCATCATTATCAGTAGAGTAGTATTCGTCCTCAATCATCTGGTCATACTCCTTGATCCGCTCCTCAAAGTCGCGCAACGTCCACGGCACCAAGGCCTTGCGCCGTCCATGCGGCACATACCCATCATCCTGAGATTCCTCCACCCGCGCCGCCGTCTCCCGCTCCACGAACCACATCCAGAAATCGTCCAGCGTGTCCATATACTCGCGCCGCAGCTGCGGTAGGAGCACCACGTCACCGGCGCTGTACTCCACGGCCTCGGGGGTCAACGGCCGCTGGGTCAAGCCTCGATCGTGGTGCTCGCCGCCCTCGCCGTCCATGGACCGGAACTTCCTCGCCATCTGCCATTTGTTCTCCAGCCACCTATTCTTCTCCTCCGCCGAAAGGCCGATCTGCGTGCTGTTCCGGACGCAGGACCGAAGCCCCCGGAGCCAGCCGCCGCCGATGCACTGGCGGAACCCGAGCTCCATGATCTGGACGTCCTTGACGCCTTGGAGGAGGATGTCGTACAGGACTCGAAGGGCGTCGGAGTCGTTGCGTACGTCGAAGAACACTTTGGTCCGGGTGTGTGATTCGAGGATTGCCTTGAGGGTGGTGGTGTTGTCGACGGCGGCCGAGGTGTGGAAGGCTGTGTCGCCTAGGGTGTGCACGTCCACGAGGTAGGTCCGACGCGGCTCTATGAGGTGGAGCGCCACTATTGTGATCGTGCCGTGGCGGCAGAGGTTCTCGCCTTCGAGATCGACGTATAAGTCCTCGGTGGGGTTCACGAGGAGATCGTCCATCAGCTGGGAGACCAGCTCGGGGGTGTCGATGATGGTCAGAGGATGGCCATTCATGTTGTGTGCCCGCTTTCGATTAACCTATTCATCCGGTGTTCCAATGGGAGGCTGTACCTTGGTTGAATTCACGTTCAGGTTGAAGGTCAATGGCTTGATGCTACCAGGGAGTATCGATATTACAGTTGACTCGGATACCTTGGGCTTCTTATACCGCTCCTGCAAGATCTCAATGCCATGGCCGTGCTGTGATAAAACCATGAATTGCCTGGGTCGAGTCTTTCTTCAGCCAGAGAACGCTTTGTTGCAGAGCAAATGCTTCGTTCAACATATGCTCACTAGCAGAGGATTGTCTCTTCCGCTGGCAAAGACTTTTCACCTCTTACAAAGAGGCCTCTGTCTCGGAAGAAAGGTGTGCATTTGTTCCGTTTTGGATGATGACGGCGGCCCTGCGGCCTTGGTGATCAGGCTACTCGCCCACCGCCCACCTCGGTGGCCTTAGCTAAGTTGTTGCGCAGACAGCCCCACGTCGCAAAATCCATCCATTTCCCACCTGTCTCGCAGATGTCAGTAGATGAGAATTCACCCATGGTTACCTCCAACGATAGTAGGACTTACCTTTGCAAACTGATCAAGAAAACCCTACGCCCGTCTTGTAGCGGGCCAAACCGTCTCTCACGAAAGCAATCGAGGTGGGGCGGCTGAGGAGCCACAATGCCAAAGGCTCGCTCGAATGTGGGTCTATACGAGGTTTTGACAATTTTTTTCATGCAACCGAGAGTCCCAAAGCCCAGCGTGATATGAGCAATCACCCGAGACTTGTTATGATTTTGATACTCGGAGAATCCTTCCATCTGTTATCCTATGACGCCTTGAAAGATGGCATGGGATTCGATCTGTAGTATTTGTGTGGCCACGTCCTTTAATCACCTCATGATGCAAAGCGCGGAGACCCCGTGTTCTTTCATCTTTCCAATCAAAGAGAAAGGTTTTCAGGGCGACCATCAGCAGCAATCAGCGACCGTATTCCACAAGTGTGCAAATCTAATCTGATCTGATAATCTTATCAATAGAAACGGCCGCTGCTCGCGCCACGGTTTGTCCTGTCGGGACCGGATCGTCCCCTGTGTGGTACGTACGATCCGATTCGCGGAGGGTTCCGGATCACCTTTAAACAACAGAATCTACTCCGTAGCTCGGGCGCATCGCAATGCAAAGCATTTCCTCGACTACATCCTGACTTCACGCCTTCTGCAACAATCCCCCCACCTGCCGAACGTCGCAATGACCCTCGAAATCACACCAATCACCCTCTCGAATTCCAAGCAATTCTACCTCGAAAATGCACGAGGCGAAAAACACCTCATCCAGATCTCCTGGCCTCTCCACTGGACAGACGAGCAGCCCCCAGCAGACAGCGGCCCACTCCCGATCCTGTAACCATTCCTAAAACACTTACTTACGCCCTCGCGTCCACCACCACTAACGCGAGACCAGATACATCGTCGACGGCAACGCGCTCTTCCTGACCGCGACCGAGGCCGCCTGGCGCCGGGCGGTCATGTCCGACTTCACGGGCGGCGGGCTCATCGTCGCGATCGGCTATCCACTGACGGGGACGGGGAACGTGTACGACTTCGCCCGCCGCAGCCGGGACCTGACCCCGCCCGCCTCCGACCCGGCCGTCCCCGGCCACGGCGGGGCGGACGAGTTCCTGACCTTCGTCACGGACACCGTCCGCCCCGCCGTGCGCGCCGCCTTCCCGCGGGTCACGTGCGCCCGCGACGCCCTCTACGGCCACTCCTACGGGGGTCTGTTCGCGCTGCATGCGCTGTTCACGCGACCGGACGCGTTCGACTGCTATCTGGCGAGTAGTCCGTCGATCTGGTGGAATGGGCGGTGGATTCTGGAGGAGGCTAGGGGGTTCTTGGACGAAGAGCGTCCTTCGGACGGCGAGCGGGTGCCGCCGGCACTGATGATGTTTGTGGGGTCGTGGGAGCAGGAGCCCCCGCAGCGGAGGGGGGAGTCGGATGATGCGTACGAGGAGCGCAGGCGGATGGCCGCGGATTGGCGGATGCGGGATAATGCGCTCGAGCTGGGTGAGATGCTGCGCGACTGCCCCGCGGTGCATGCGGTGCCGGTGCGGGTGTACGAGGGCGAGGAGCACACCAGTGTCATGGCTTGCTCCTTGAATCGGGGGTTGACGGCGTTTTTCGAGGGTTGGCCGTTCGCGCGGTAGATGCTGAATCTGCATTGTCGGTCGTGTTGTGCGCTTCTTCGTGAGTAACTGCCGATGAACGATTTCGGGTTGGACTGTCGGACTGGGACTAGTGGCTGGTGAGTGGGGGAACCAGCTCGGTGATAAGGACTTTGGAGCGAGGTCGTTTCTAATGTTCACAGTTGCTTACCTGTAGGCTGTATAATTTACATTCGGATTGACTTGTCTTCTTCTTGGAGGGGAATGCTTGAGTGGGCCGTTGCCAAGGGTTTCCGCATCCCAAACCAGAAACAAGACTACGAGGCCATCGATGTACTATGTATACTCCCCTATCTACAAACTACATATGACTCTACACATGTCTGTGCCCGCGAATTCGTCACGAGTGGGTGGCTGTCGTGGTTTGAGGACGACGACGCATACGCAAGCAACAGGGCTTTTCGGGCACGGCGATTGGTCCAACACTGGCTCCCCACCGGAGAAGTGGGGCGCCTCGCTCGCCTGGTGTCCATGATGCATCAATGCTTTTCCCTCCAGAAAACCACTTGAGGCAGGCAATAGCCAGGTTTTATTTGCTTCGCAAGAATGAATCTGAGAATGAGACTTCCATCTCTCATGTCGTACCGACACCCACCAGCAAATTCGCCATGGTTCGCCCTCTGATCTGGGGATGCATTGGGGCGTGGTTTGCAACGGTGACTAGCGGCGATTTCGTCTCGACCAACTCCCGACGATACAATCAGGGCGCGCTGGGCCACCGGCCGCACCTGGAATTCCACTCGAGCAGCGAGTACGCCCCTGTGCTGCAGGTCAACACCTGGGACGCCGACAACATCTCCGACACGGGCTCGCACATCTTCCTCCGCCACGACGGGAACGACTCCTCCCCGCTAGCCTCGCCGCTCATCCTCGACAGCCACGACCTCAGCGCGGTGTACCTCAACCGCTCGTTCAAGAATGTGTTTGGCACCCGGGTGCAGGAGAACCACGGCAAGAGGTACCTGACCTTCTGGGGCGGGGAGAAGGGCGACGGGATCGGCGACGGCTACGGCCTGGCGTTCGACGAGACCTACCGCCTGGCCTACAAGATCTCAGCCCAGAACCTCCAGGTCCACAGCGACCTCCACGAGTTTGCCTTCACCGGCAACGGCACGGCGCTGGTCACCGGCGTCGACAAGATCCGCGCGCGGCGGTCCAATCTGCAAGACGGCTGGGGCACGCCCGAGCGGTTCGAGGTGCTGGATGCGGTCTTCCAGGAGATCGACCTCGAGACCAACGAGGTGCTCTTCGACTGGCGGGCCCTGGACCACATCAACCCGATGGAGTCGTTTGAGCCGCGGGGGAGCGGGTGGGATGCGTACCATCTCAACAGTATTCAGAAGGTGAGAGTCCACCCTCGGGAAAGTA